TCCTTCATTCAGTTCTATGAACGAGCTATAATTATCGAGGAGTGAATGTTGTCGATAATTATTGTTGGTGAACTTAAATGTGCTCGGAAGAATTGGAGGTGTGCAAGTAAGTTGTGAACAGGGAATCCTAAATTATAGACATGACTCGTAGAAGTACATATTTAACGTAGAAAATAACCACTACGTATTTGATGACCTCCGTGGCCGAGTGGTTTGTACGCCGGGTTTCAAGGTGTCGCCTACTAGAGATGTCCCGGGTTAAAATCCCGCTGGGAGCAGATGTTTGTGTGATGGATACGAGCATTTATACTCCAGTCATGGATGGTTAAGGATTTGTATATAAATAAACGTACGTAGTATCCAAAAACACAACTTGTGGTTACTTTGGAGCTAGGCTAATTTGGTGTAAGTGTTGGAAAGGTTTACTTATTTATTCTATTTATTTTTTATTTATATTTATTTTTTTTACATCAAACAAACTTATTAGTTAACTCGCCATTACAAATCTGGGCGACCGGTGGTGAGTTGGCGAATTTTAATTTATGATAAAGCATCAACTCGCCATCTCAAAATTTAATAAATCAAGCTACTTTCACAAATTGAATTTCGCCAACTCGCCGGTCAGCCAGATTCGACATGCCGTGTTGACTATCAAATCAAATACAGATATCCGTGAACAGCCAGTAAACTTTTACGTCAAATACTATGGCCCAACCAAACAGAGATTCTCTTTACATTGCATGAGACAAAAATTAAGAAAGAACCGAAGTGATTATGATTTACCTACATTAAAAAAAACACAATTTTGTCTAGAAAATTTCCTGTTTGCCACCCCGGATGTTGCATAGCTACTAGATCAGCAATCTGGCTTGCACACAGAACAGAGAAAGAGGTTGCACATCAAATCTTTCACAGAATATTACGAGTGTAATGGCGCCATAATATTTCTCCAGTACCTACATAAGTACTTACCCAAACAAAACAACACACATCGGTAAAATGTCAATAAACAGAATAATCTCCAGGCATAATCCTTTGGTTTAGACGAAGAATCTCGCTATGCCTCATCCTATGTTAGCCACATTACCAGTCATATTGCATCTATTCTACTTAGCGTAAGGCTCAACTAACACTGGCGCAGAGTCAGTCAAAGGAAATCTCGTCGACGCGCGATGGCCCGCTTTGACGCGAATACCTGGAACCTGGAATAAGTACAACCTTGTACAGTGCGACCAAAATCTTGTGGCGCAGCACAGTATTTTTTCTTTTTCTCTATAAACTTACCGAGTACAGGGGGAGTCCTATTTCCTAATACTGCATGCATATACCAGCGACGCAACTTTTTTAAGCGTTATAGCGTACATTGGCGTAGCATGGACTGATATAGACATGAGCGAAGTCGCATCAGCGAGGCCCCGTTTCTTTAGTTCTCAAGATCTACCTAATAATCTAGTCTTACCAAACATGGTTTGACAGTCCCGCTACCTAGTTTGAGGACCACTCGCTGATTAACGATCGTCAATACGAACTTAAGTCAAAACTATGAGCATACGTAACACATATCTGGGGTGAGGTTATTAACAAGCGGGAAGTCTTTACTAATCGGCATTGATATAGCCAAAGCTTTCGACAGGGTCTGATTCAAGTCTTTTCTCCAAGCTTCTTTCTTTCCTTGTTCTGTGTCTAGGAGACTAACTTGCTGCATTTGCGTAGGATTTGCGACCTTAGGAACGCATGTATAATCACGAATCGATGGTTATCTCGCTTATTAAAGGTACAGCAGATTTTTTTGCTTCGCTGTTAATGAAGTGAATTTGGGATGTTTGGTATGAAATAATTCCATCGCTGAAACATCAGGCGTGAAGAAATCGTAATAACATAGCCCCGAACTCCCAAGTACCTACGTATGTAAGGAGTGGACTCCCTTCTGCTCTGTCAGTTAATCAAACCAGTTGACCAGGCCGAGAGTAGGAAGCAGTTGCCTTTCCAACTATGTTTATTTTATTGTAATGAAAATATGCCCTCCGAGGGGCCACAGTGGAAAACGTAGGTTTCGTATACAAAGATTGAACTTTATAAAAAAATGTAGCCAGAAGGATACATTTGTAGCTGTTGTTAGTCGTACGCTATGACTCACCAAATGTGGGCTGTCAGACGAAACACCTCAACTTTCATATTACTGTATCCGTCCAATTTGAATTTAATTAAAATATAAAGGTACACATACTATTTATATACATAGCCATAATAATAGGTTATTTATCATTATGTTAAGTAACATTTTAGTAACATGAAGTAATATTGTTAAAATAAACTTTATATAGGTCCTGCCAAATCTTTATGTATAAGAAACCTGCGTTTTCCACTGTGGCCCATCGGAGGGCACGCACATCTAATAAGTTGTTTAAGGAAATTGTTACTATGTTTACAAATAAAGCAATTTGACTTTATAAAGAGAACTCCGAGGTATTTTTTTGTAGATTCTTGTTAGATTCGACCCCTCTATTAAGTACTACAACATTAAACCCGATATTATTTTTCCATCCATTTGCTGAGCTGCTTTTTTTGTAGTGATAGGGAGCCATGTATTTTTTAAACGGTATTTCAAAAACATTTTTTTTGGAAGGCGAACAAGAATAAGAACCTCTTGATGGTCAGCGGTAACCGTGATCTATATGGATACCAGCAACACCGTACCTAGGTATTTATAATAAATAAATATTTCTAGCACATGCACTAATTAGCCTAGCCAAATGACGTATAATATATAGAATAGACAGACCTGTCTATCCTATTATAATGTTGGTGTATGACCATACACCAACATTATTGCATTTTAAAATGGCACAAGTAGTCCCCGCCCCAACTTCCCTTGGCAACAACCGCCAATAGAGCGCACTAGTCTCTTTTACTCTCAAAGCAATTACATCCATAGAGGTATAAGAATAGAGTTAAGAAGGCGGCTCTAAAAGTGTCCGTCTAGTAGAAAGAGAAAGAAGATGAGAGACGGCTAGACTTTCTCTCTCTAATGCGCATTGGATGAAAAACCTACGGATGAATACCGACCAATCACACGACAGCGCAGCAATACCGACTAATCACACGACTGCGCAGCGTCACAAGAGAGAGATATCTCTCATCTTCTTTGTATTTCTACTAGACGTACACTGCCACTTGTAGTAGAGTACGTATCTGCCCTACTCTATTCTTATACCTCTATGATTACATCTCGATCTTTAACCTTCACGTATCAACCATGTCTGCAACTGTTAAAATAAGCAATCACTAAATATTTGTACAGTATTTTTTTAACAAATTAAATGACACGTTTTTCTTGTAAGTAATAAATGCCGTGTATTTTGTGTACATCTAAAAACACACATAAGGCTTTTTGTCTGTAAAAAAACGTAGAATATTTACACGTTGTAGCAAAGTGTAACCGCGGCCAGGGAGCGTGTCCTACTGGATGCAAGTCGACTAACTTTCGTATTGCAAAACTAGAAGTGTGACGTATCTATAAATTTAAAACAGTATAGGCCTAGCCCCAATCTAAGCACTGAAAGGCTTGTGTTATGGGATATTAAGGTAACGGATAGAATACATTGGTATTATAATGATAGATTGTAAGTATGTATATAGTTTACATTATAGTTATATAAACATCCATGAGTCAGGTAAAAATGTTCAAATTCATCATATTAACATGTTGTCCCACCGGGATTCGCACCCGTGACCTCTCGAGTAGGCGACCCCAGCGCACATACCAATCGCTCCACAGAGATCGTCAATTATAGCACAAGTACTGCAAAGTATTGCACGAGCGTTGCTGAACCTTGCAAAACTTTTTTATTTGAAGAAACCTACACTGTATTTTTTGAAAAACCTCAACAGAGGAAGCTCATTCCTCGTATTCTTCATCATACGCAAAAACAAATGCACCTGGAAACTCATAGTTCGTTCCAACTCAGTACGAACGAGAATGAACTCCCTGTCGACGATAATAAATGGGAAAGGTGAAATGATAAATAAATAAACAACCATTTATTCAAATTATTTTTATTATCCATACATGGACACGGAATCCTCACGCTTCATCAATGTTTTTACACAAACATCGAAACATAAATACATTGACAAAGTCGAATAAAAAATATCAAATAGAAAAAAATAATATAGGAGAACCCTAAAAAGGACAATACGTAATTAATTCTAATTCTTAATAACTAACTGATTACATTATTCTAAGTCGATATATCCTTCTAAACGGGTGGGTTACTTAGTAGTGCATGTACTATCGTTTCGATTAAGTATTTCGTTTTGTGCAAAAGCTGCAGTACACATTACTTTTTGATGCTTAAACCATTTCAGGTGTGTTAAGTACCTACTATTTTTTTCTCTATTTCATAAGAAGGTCCATTATAGTCGTGTAAGAGTTACTGTTATTCGTACATGCTAATTACTAGTAAAAACGGCGAAACCACACATCTTGTTATTTGTTATATTGTTCTTATACCATTGTAAAGTAAATAGAAATTTCCACGGCTTTCACTAGAAATAGACAAGAAAAGCCTGCAGATAACATTTTGAGTTCAATATCGGCTACTTAACACTACATAATGTGAACGTTACATCGTTCCCTCTAAATACTCGTAAAGTTAATAAAACTCTAACGCACAACGTATATGGTCGACGCTGTATACTTCAATAGTTTGGCGAAGGCCCTATTACCTTACAATCTCACGATTCCAATAAAAAAATGGCAGTCAAACATTAAAAACAAATTATACCACACGATCCTCACTTCGTCCAGTCTTGTCCATTATTAAAAAAAAAAGTTCCATTGTAACAAAATAAAAACACATACAAATTCCAATAATAATTAATAAATTATTCACTAATCAAATACTTCATAAATGCTAGTTGTAATTTGAATTTGATAAAAGACTGATGAGTTTTAAAGCCTTATTTATATATAAATCTTACATTTTATTTACCCTATTCTCCGATTACACGCATTTTATACGCAAAAGTATAAAAAGAGTGATACAATCAATGCAGGGCGTGTTTCTTTTTATATTTTAATTTAGATTAGACAGGTATTTTAATAAACTTAGCACCAATATGAAAAAATGTCAGTCACATAATTGTTTATGGGTAACAACATCCAGGTCATGATTTGTTTAGCTGCTTTGTATCACAGGTTTCTAATAATAATAAAATAATAACTTTGTATCATGTCAGATGCTGTCAAATTTGTTAGTTACATTATTCAAATTAAGTCTCCCCGTTATATTAAGACTAACTTAGTAGTAACGCGGAAACTATGTAATATTTTTGTTTTCATTTGCCGTTCACAAATAAGACTTTCAATCAGTTTTTATGAATGTGATATATAATAATACTTTAATTACGACGGTATACAGCTGACGTATAGGCCTAAAATTAACTAATTATAAGATAACATTGTCAAAAAGCTGTATTATTTGAAGAATACATGCTTGGTTTATGGGCAGTGTGACTTCAAAACAGGACAAACAGTAACATCATTTAATCGCGTTTTAAATGAAACTGAAAATGAGTACAGTCAGTCCTCGACTTACGTCGTTTCGATTTACGTAGAACAATGTTTTGACACTATTCCTCAAGCATACGTCAATTGTTTCGATTTCCGGCATAGGAGAATTCACTTGTCGCGAGGTCAATGTCCGTTGGGCCGGCGTCCGTGAGGATGTCTCGACTTACGTCGTTTCGATTTACGTCGCGTATTTCGAGAACCTAACATGCCGTAAGTACGAGGTCTGCCTGTACTACAAATAATAGTAGATTATATCACTTCAAACTCGAATAAGAGGATCAACCACCATAAAAAAGCTTGTCAATCAATTTTAATCCAATTTCGAAAATAAACCTTTTTAGATTCTATTCTACTTATAAGACGCACGTTTTTGTAACGGTTGATACTTTAGACCAATTCATCAGTATTATGCAGAGTAGTCGTAAGACAAACTGAAGGACTGTGCATTTGGCAAACCCTAAACTCGTGCTAACTCTGTGACATTCATATAAAATTAATAGACTTTTAGGCACGGCGTATCCTATCCTTTCGGCGTTAAATACCCCATTTACCAACGGGTGAAATGCTGTATCGAATCGAATGTTTCACTTGTAAACACCCGAGCGATTTGCTACCCAATTTGTATGTAAATAGGGTACAATTCAGCATGGATCTACAAGTCGGTGTCGTACCAAGCTGCGACGTTGTTGTTGTCGTGCGGTGGTTCTGGGAACGCTAGGTCGGCTGATGCGGCCCCAGCGCCTTCCGTCTCGCCTATATCCATTTCCATACCGAAACCGCTGCCTATTTCCAAACCCTGCATTGAGTCTATCGGTATTTGATCATAGCCTGAAAGTTTTAAAGATGTTTTGAGATTATTGTGATCGGTTTACCAGCGATTGTTTAGCTAAAATTAAAGAAATTTCAAATGTACAGTTGCTCCGATACTTTTCTGGATGAAATTAAATATCAATATCACTGTAATATATAAATGTTAACCTCCTAATATCGTTGTTGTACAGCAAAAAAGCAATCAATCGTAATGATTTTGTATGAGTCCGAGTCAGTTGCTTTTCATTTCATCCTTCATCCTAATTATCATTGTAGGGGTCACCCAACAGAGTTGATAATACAAATCGACTAAGTATTTCTTCTACGAAAATCCGTTAATGTTTTCAACTAAACCATTAATGTGACAATAATTTCTACACGCAATGGAATTAATAGAAACACAGTAATGGATTTTTGCAGACGAAAAACTGAAGTCAATTTGTACTATCAACTAATTTCGATTTACTGGGTTTTCGCTGTACGACGATGATTTCGTAAAAATGTGCACTACTCTCATCTGCTCAAATGATGTTGAATCATCTCTACGTCAGTACTTTATTGAAGTTTAGGTAAATAAGCGCCCGATTATCCGTACCCTTAACACGAACCTATATCAAATTCAAATAGTTTGAGAGTGCGAAATGTCATTGTCAATTTTGTATAGAAAATTACAAAAATATAAAAACGAGAACTGAAAATCAGTACACATTTGACATATAAAATAGATCGAATTCGATAATGGTTCGTTCGGGTACCGATCACTGAATATATATTTGTGAATAAATAAGTCGTACTATTAAAATCAAAAAATGAACCAAAAATAACGACACAATACATTCTCTCCTCGTTCGCACATACCAAATACTGTGCGAGCAATAGAATTAAATTTCTTTGTAGGAGCGAGTTATGGCACCTATCTATTTTGAAGTCTACTTATACGACACAAAAATTACATAGGAAATCTTCAGGGATAAAATATTTAACTGAATAAATATTGCCCAAAAACTATATTTAACACTTCACTCCATAGGCTTCAAAAATCATTAACGTGAAATGAAGAAGAGAAAAGCCTCAGTTTTTACAGTAATGTGCTAGTACTGTAAGATCTAACAATTATTTATTTTTATCAGACCATATTTAGGAAAAACAAATACTAATTAAAATTTCATTACCAAATATTGCTAATAGGTTACTCACAAATTTATAAATTATCCATGGTTTATCAAACGTACAAAAAATAATACCCAGAAGCATAGTAGCACATATTTTTTGCATGCTCTTTATGTACAGCATTATTTCAAAGAGCATATCGAAAATTCATTGGAAAATAGCTGATGCTATTACAATATAGCATTAAAACAGCATAGTCCTTTCTCTATAAGCATTATTAGTGCTCTACACAATCGAAGCATTTTTATATTTTATTCAAGTTTGATTAAAAATTTAAATGGCATTAGGCTTTTATAAATAATAATATTATTAATCAGCATGCTTAGGTGTTAAACGCACACTTCCACATTATTAGTGTAAAGGAAAACAATATATATTCATATAAATGGGTAAAACAAAAACTATTGCACAACACAAAATAATAATATTCCCATCACCTGCGTTTAGTGATAAATAGGTCCCGGATTAAGCTGCGTGTAAAGAAGAGAGAAAAATACATTTATATAAATAATTTATGACAACTTATATGATAGGAACATACCAGAGTGCTATCATACCAATCAGTGGTCAGTATGAACTAGAGAAACATTCTACATCATCAATAAGTATATGCAACATATTTCTCAAGTACATACATTGACATATCAAGATATTATAAAAAAACATATACCAACTATGTTTTCTACTTCTCTACTTGATTAGTATTAATAATATCCAAAAAGGAACTGTTATTTCAGGAGGTACCTATGTATGAATAAAGTTATAGACAGTAAGAAAATAGAAAATAAATCTACTAATACTAAAACACGATTTAGTAAGGATAGAAGTTACTGATATAATTGTTTTTTAAATTATAAATATAGAGAGTATGATTCCTAATATCTATATCATTACGTGCTTGATGAATCTGAGAGAAAAAATATTTTAAATCTGATGCTTTGTTGCAGTGTAATCAACTTTGATGACCTTTACGAAGCAGATACAAATTCTACAATATAATAATTTATATTTTTGACAATAATTACATTGTTTTTATATATTTTTTAAGCATTTAACTGCTAGATGTTTAAATCTAAAGAAAAGATTTACTAGAAAAAAATCCACGCGGTCCAGGCAGCGGACGGGACTCGAACCCGCACCCTTCGCAATCCGGGCGAATGCACTGATAATAATAATTACGTTTTCAATCAGACACTGAAATTAATCGAGTACGTAATGATATAGATATTACAAAATATAAACTATATGACACAGATTTATAATTAAAAAAAATATTATATCAGTTACTTCTATCCTTACTAAATCAAGACATCGGGTAGTTATTGAAATAATCGATCGATTGTAGATCTATTGGCTTACCTTGCTGGTGAAACGACGGTCTGGTACCATACAGCCCCTCGTACCCTTGCTCGGGTCCGAGCATGTCCTAATGAACGGGCAGGTTGCATCAAAATCATACAAACACACATACTCGATACAAATGAAAAGGGAGAAAATTAAAATGGGTTCCTTTTTTTAAATAATAACTGATTCACAAACAAAAATGAAAAGCGAAGCAAAATATGTTTTGCAGATAATAATTTAAATGTATGCTTTGACTGTTTTTTTTTTATTTTGAGTCTATAAAAAAAAATTGTTTAAATAAAACTTTATTTTTACACGTTTTGACTATTTTGTGGCTTCTTATCCTAGGTTAATAGTATTAATCTCACTATGTGCGATTCATATCGAATATGCAAGTAGAAGTTGGGAAAGGATTTGAGGTGGCAATGATTAAGTTTTAAGGTCGATTCATACCGGTATTATTAGCGGCCGGCAGCGAGCGGTGAGCACTTTCAGTGTGAAATCATTTTAAACTTTATCTACATATATCTACATACATATTTAAAATACCAGTTTCGCTTGAGAAGCTCGTAGAAGCGTCGCCGGCTGGCAACTCCGTGGGACTTTTACAAGCGGTCTTTTAGGTATGTACATAAAGTTTAAAATTGTTTAACATTGCAAGTGTTCACCGCATCGCTGCCGGCTGATGCCAAAAAAAAAAACAAAAAATAAGATACAGTTGCCGAATTCGAGGAAGTTATATCAAAAATGACCTCAAATTCTAAATTCATAATATATAGTTAACCCTGTTATATCTGCATTATGACTCTTTGGGTTATTTTGAAATCATCAAAATAAATTACTGAAATAATCATTAAAAAAACTAAAACACACACAGTAAATATTACAAAAACACTTTGTTACAAATACGACAACATTGAAGCACAAACAACACATCAATAAAAATAGGTATGTACATATTTCTTACTAGTGAATTTTACTTGAGATATAACTTATGAAGAATACCATCAGTTTTAGTTAAAAGTTGACTCATAATTTGTATTCTGCGACATGAAGATATTGTGTGAAATTCTGATTTGAATAAACCTTTCTTATCCAAATTTAAAAATCATAGATATCACTTTATACATTTATCTGATTCTAGACCCAATTTAAATTGAAATAAGGGTCCTTTTCCAAATTTTTGCCCAATGACTAGAACCCAAAACACATCAAAATCTTAAATATACCTTAGCATTTTATGAGTACACTGTTCAATAACGAATAGTGTAGTTTCAAGCACAGGATAGTTCACGATACTTTTCCGATTATATCGCAGTAACTAGTGACCATAACACATCAAAAGGGTTTCATACATCAAACTTTTAAACTCAGATTACGGAACTAAAAGCAGATGGAGCGCACGGAACACAGATTGCGTGCCACCAAAGCAAATATCAATCAAAAGCGAATATTTACTCGCGTCAGTGCACTACATCGCATCGTGTTGTGAATACGCCCCGTGAAAATTAAGTTTTTATCAAAACTGTGCCGCCTTGTTCAAGCATTGTAAAAACTGCTCACAAAGACTTTTGCGAGTTCTGCGCGTTCCAACTGCCATTTGTTCTGTAATCTTAGCTTTTAAATTTACCTTAGCATTTTATGAGTACACCATTCAATAACAAATACTGTAAGTTTCAAGCAGAAGCTAGTTCACGTTATTGAAGTCACAATTACCTGTAAATCGGGTTGCATCGCCAAATCGTTGGGCCACATCTGCGGGTCCTCGCGGAACAGAGAGTTCGTCAACTCCATGGAGAGACGCTTCTTGTAATCGTGCGGTTTGTCTTCGGACAGACGGAATAGTACCGCAGCGGCGTACGTGGCCACACCTATATTATTCAAATAAGGGAGCTATTAAATAGAGAGAAGTGTTAGTAAATTAAATACAGTGTGACCAATGAATGCTATAACAGAAAGATGAAATGGCACTTTTATGACATTGGCAAGAGGGCGCTGCTGGTGAAATCAGGACTATAAAGTAAGTAAAATGTCCTCACAAACGTGAAAGGAAATATAAAAGGATTATTTACACCTCCCTCTAAAAGCTATCTTCGCGTTTAGACTTTATCACCGCTTAACATCAGGTTGGGTAGTCATTTGCCTACCTCGCTATAAAAGAAAAACAAAAGGCTTATTTATACATTCGAATACGCGTGGCGAATTTGGCCACACGCCGCATGATTTTCGTCACACTTTAAGTACATCTAAAGATACAAACCGGTCAAATTCTATCATAACAATCAGGTAAAAAGCTAAAACAGTATTTCAATTATCAAAGGATATTCTAAAGCCACTGACAAATAATTTTACCTTCGTTACGTGAATGCAGGAGTTCCGTAAGCGGTGCGGTGGCACCCTCCGCTTCTATCATTTCAGCCCCCTCCTTATCAACTGCCAGCTCACAAAGAACCCCGGCTGCCACACGCTATAACAGAAAGATAAAAACTTTCAGTAGATCCCTCAAGCGCTAAATTGAGGCTGTCAGCGCAAAAGTAGCCTAACCCTCAACTATTCATATTCTGAATTATCTTCTACAATTAAATGAAAATGTGTTAAAATTTTATTCAAAACAGACATTCAATTCAGGCGTCAATGGATGGCATTGCAAAAGTTATTTTTGCATTGATTTTTTTCTCTCAACTTTAACTTCACAAGTGGCCTAAGATGCTTAATCAGAATATGAATAATTGAGGGTTAGGTCACTTTGGCGCTGACCGCCTCAATTAATAATAAAAGACATAATTTGAGTCACCTGCAGGGAAATCATGGGGAATGGACTGAGCGATACTACATAATATTTACAACTCTCTAGAAAGAGACAAAAACATAATTTACATTTATTGTAAATTATTATTGTAAGGTGAAAACAAACTATGGGCCGGCCTATCATTTCGCCTCGTAATTATCTGTTCAGTTTTACTTGAGAGTTGGTTCGACAGCGCGCATTCCATTTTATCTGTCTCTCTGATCTACGATGTCTAGAGCTATATAGTCTATTCACTTTGGCGTGAGACAAAATGTAAACAAAGAATCTGAGGTTCTAAAACTTTCATAATGTCAGAAAGTACCTACTAGTCAATGATTATCAGCTGTTTGTTGACGCTGTGTCGGGCTAATATATGAAATATCCCTACAGCGTCCTTTACACTCTTCTATACTAATTTATCTAAATTGTCTATCAATCCCTTGCCTGTATGTTCTCTATCTCGTTGAACAGCAGTTGCACGAAGATCGGGATGACGTTCTGCTGCCGTATAAGCTGTTTGTTAACGCTGTCTCGGGCTAATATATGGAGTGCTCCGACAGCGCCTTCTACGATCTCTTCCATACGAACGCCGTCTGCGTACGCGCCAGGTGGGCCGGTAGTACCGGACACAGATGAACGTTGCTGGAATAACAATAATTTATTTGCAACATTTAGAAGATATCATAGCGGATTTTCCACTTCAAACGGAATAGAAGTATCTTTTTCATCATTTGTCTGTAGTAGTCTATTTCTGAAGTTGTAATTTCGCATTTGATCCATACTTCGAAAAAGACGTTAAGCATAGCATGTCTATAGACATTGTCTATCATATAACTCTCTTTCTTTATATTCTAATACCGATAACAGCCTAGTCAAGCAGAGACAATGTCTATGTTATATGGTATGTAGCAGTATGTAAGTAGTGATCAAACTTATGAAAAAGAGGAACTCGATAGCTCGGGTGGTTAGCGTGTTCGGCTGAGATCGTTGAAGTTAAGCAACTCTCACAGTGGTCGGTCATTGGATGAGTGACAAAAAATCTTCTATCTCGAGTTCCTCCGTGCTTCGGAGGGCCCGCGTGGTGGGTCATGGCCCAATCTCCCTATTCCAACCATAGAGAAGGCCTATGCCCCAGCAGGGGTTACAGGCAAGATTTGGACAAATGATTTAACAGAATAATTAAAACAAATTAATTAATGCCTATTTTTTCTCCATTAAACCACTCCGTAATGACAGATCGTCCACAGACTACATAGGTGTTAAAATCCTTTACACAAAATTGACGTCACATAGTGTACGTCGAACCGAGTTTTCGGCAGTAAATTCAGTGCCATTAAAAAAATTTAACTTTAATTGGTATAATGGAGAAAAAAAGACTAGTTAATTTCTTTTTATTTTTCTGTTAAATCGTTTGTCCCAATCTTTAAATATAAGCAGTATCCAAAAATTTGGAAAATACCCTATTACACATTCTGCGCGAGTTACGGTCCTACAGCCTCGGCAGGCGTAAGAAAATCGCGCCTTGTGTTCTTAGCCTAATACTGCAGTCATAACGAAGTGACACGACCGGTCGTTATCCTATCCTTTCGACAATGCGAAGAGATGCAACCTAAGAAATACAAGTCTGAATTCCACACGGCCATTAGGGCCGCGATAGCGTAATGGCCAGTGTAGTCCAGTCAACAAGTTGAAAAACGTGAAAAATAGAGATAAAGCTCCTAAAAATGAAAAAGGAGTTTTGAGGATTTTACTGCAAGTAAAAAATTGCAATTGTTATTAACAAAATAAGATAAAAAAGAGGTATTTAGTTTTTTGTTAATAACTCATAAACTATTAATGTTTACGATATTTGAAAAAAAAAAGGTTCTTAAAGAGGAGGAAACGTCCGAAAAAAAAGTTACAGCTCCCGGAACTCTACCTCTATTATTAATAATTTTAATTTAACGCTGTAAATAGAACTCCGGCAGCCATTACGGCATGGGTAACACAGGGTACCACAAAGAAATATTTTTTTATAGTAACAAATATTAAATATCCGCGCTGGGTCCGTTATCATCCACCAAGCACTAGATTTATGTATTTTGTGACGGGTATTGTTCATTGTTTACCGATAAGTCACCGTTACGCGCGTAACGCAAAAATCGTTACACATTCGCCAGTTTACCCCCCAAGTCAAGCGTGCCTTTAGAAGTTTCACTTCAAAAACAACTCACCCGCTGTGTATCGTTGAACGCTCTCATCAGCAGTCTAACCAGATGGTGTACGGCGCCGTGTTCACGTAAAGGCGCATAGTTGGCAGCGCATAGTGCCAAGTTGCGCACCAAACCCACCACGGCCTTCACTAAAGGCCAACGGGAAGGCGGCTGCAGCAGTTTCACTATCACCTGGCAAGGATAAAATTATAATTATGATTATAGTTTATTATCCTCAATGGAACAGTTACAGAAAAGGACAATAATGCAAGATCTTTCTCGTCTTGTGTTTCGCTTGCTTTTGATTCCAAGTATTCATCCAATACTTTCTATGTAAATATATATATATATATATATATTTTGGCACACTCTTTATATAAAAGAAAATTTAATATAAACAAGATACTTAATTTCACCTAGACACCTTGGTATCTTTTTCCCTGACGATAAAAAGGACGGCAAGCCTATAGCTCACCTGATGATAAGCGGTAAATCTCCTGTTAAATCTGGTAACTAGTTCTTCTTATCATAATTTTTATTATAGTATGAGGAAGAAAAACATTGTGTGCTCTTACACATAACTGCGAATTCGCATCGCATCGCAAATATCTGCGAGCTCGCACGACTGCACTGCAACTTCCAATCTGATTTGCATCGCACATTTTCTTAGATATAACGTCACACTTAGTGAAACCATTTTAATGTGCTCTGAGACGTCCCTTGTACGATTATTTTTGTTGATACGGTGACAATAAACTCAAAAGCTCTTCAAATGAAGATATGCTCGTTCTGAAATAATTTGAAAAATATCTTCTTCTGTTCTCAAAAAGTAGTATTTCCGAGTAAAATTGTCCCCATCAGCATTCATAATCGTAATAAATGGATGAACCCAAAATCTTTTATTTTCTTCTATATCTATTTAACAAAAACAGCAGTGCAACAATCTTTTTGCGATCCATGTCACTATTACTAAAACACGTCCAACAAGGCTGACTACCGTTGAATGTATGGTCACCTTAACTAAATCTTTGCCGCACCAAATCGCATCGCAGGTTCAATAACCTCTTCCCCACCACTATAGGACTATACTGTGGTGTCATTATTATATACAACTCACCGGTAATCCATAGTGCACTCGCACCGCGTTCTGAGCCATCTCACTCTCCAAGTGACGTGAGGTCAGGTGTCGTAGAGCACAGACTGCGGGTTCAGTGATCTCTTCCCGGTCGCCGGCCGATACTACGGTGCGTACGAGCGCGTCTACACCACCCGCTTGGCATACTGTCACCTGTAAGACAAATAAGTATTATTATCATGAACATAGTCAGCCTAAGCACCTTGTGCTTCATCATCATCATCAGCCTATTAACGCCCCCACTGCTGGGGTACAGGCCTTCCCTATGGACGGAATAGGGAGATTGGGCAATTACCCACCACGCGGGCCCAATGCGGATTGGCGGATGCTATCGACTCAATCAGAAATCAGAAATCAATATATCTTTATTCAAATTGGATGTATAGTACAACACTTTTGAATCGTCCAAACATTTTTTTCCCTACCACTCATTATTGGACATATTTTTTAGCTGCGGAGAAAAACGAGCGAAAAAAACTCCACAACATTAAAAGCATAATGTAACAACATTTACAAATCATTATGTTGTTACAACGTCAATACAATCATGATTTATTTAATATAGAACACCTGTTGGAATGATTGGAACAGTTCAAACCCAAGCATTTTTGTCTGTAATATAATCAGACACTTTGTAATAAGCTTTTTTAATAAGTGCTTTTTTTATACTATCTTTGAATTTATTTATGCTTAACTCTTGGATATTGCTTGGGACTTTATAGTATAAGCAAACACAAAGACCTTTAAATGAATTATTGATTTTGTGAAGCCTAGTAGCAGGTAAAGTTAGTTTATTTTTGTTTCTTGTATTAAGTGTGTGAACATCACTGTTTTTAAGAAACAAATTAATATTTTTTCTTACAAGTAACTTAGTTTGACTGCATATGCAGCCGCGACAAACGGCTTAACTTGCCTTGCGAAGCACGAAGGATAGAAGTTTTTGGTCCCCCATCCAATGACCGACCACTGCGACTTTCGCTTAACTTCAAAGATCGCAGCCGAAAGCACTAACCACCTGTGCCATCGAGCTCCTCCATAAGGATGAGGCGCTTGATGACCTTGTGCTTAACTATTTAATATAATGCGATTGTACATCCATTATAAATACGAACTATTGACCACACGATAGCTTCATTTCTTTCTCTAACACTTATCAGCCCACATTTCATTTACTGTACATCTAAGTTTATGGTGCTAACGACTGCAGATGCAACTTTGACTAATGGCTTGACGTGCCTTCCGAAGCACGGAGGAACTCGAGATAATATTTGGTACCCAATCCTGTTCCATTACCATTGCTATACTTCTTTTTTTATAGGTAGGTCCGACAAATGCTTCCACCTCACCTGATGTTAAGTGGTGGTGAACTCCAGACGTGAAGATAGCTGGTACAGCAGTTGTACCTGCCACACCAGCCATCCTCACCTTGCCGGCCTGCATGTTGCTTCTTTCCCGCCTCTTTTAAAGGATACCAGGTGGTAAGAAGGAGGGAACACATGAGCAGACAGAGCATTCCATTTACGGATAGTGCGACAAAAAAATAAGTCACCAAATTTCTTTGTACGCTATGATTTTATTTATTTTTTAAGCATTTAACTGCTAGATGTTTAAATCTAAAGAAAAGTTTACTAGAAAAAAAAACACTACACTTCTTTGTACGCGTTGGAATTGTAGCCACAGTTAGACGGTGACAACGAAGGCCAGCACGCGTGGTGCTATGAAGGAAAGGGGAAGGTGGAATAAGAGAGAATAACTTTTCAGATAACTCGCCGTGGTACAGACGATAAATCACGCTTAGTGACGCCACGTCATGGCGTAACTGAAGAGGTTCGAGGTGTTTAGTCACCTCATCATTGCCTATGATGCGGATCGCACGCCGCTGTAACCTAACCAAAGCATCGAGCAAGTACTTAGCGGAGCCATCCGAGAGATGCGAGCAATATTCCACGCAAGACCGCACCTGCGTCTTATACAACAAGCACAGTTGCTCGGGCGCGAAAAACGCCGCACCTTGTTCAGGACTCCGAGTTTGCATGAGGCCGTTTTCACCACACTTTCGATGTAATTATTTGGATTTAAGTCACAGCGAATTTCCATACCAAGCATGGTTATACTGCTCTCTAGCTCCAGTGTCGTACCCTGAAGAGAAGGACATGAAAGGAATGGCGACGTTTTTGCCGTGAAAGCGCAGACCTGGATTTTCTTAGTATTGAACTCAACCAAACTCTTGGTACCCCATTCAGAAATGTGGTCCAAAGCCTGATTGAGTTCAATGACAAGATTCTACCGTTTTATCTTGGTTACCGCCTGTCCAGCCGCTGCTTGTCCGAGATACCCCGCATGCACTGTACTATCGTCTGCGTAGCAATGAATGTTCCCAAGAGGAATTAAGTCATTGATATGCAGCAGAAAGAGAGGGGGATAGGACGGAGCCCTGAGGAACGCCGGCATTCACTGACATAAACTGCGAACTACTACCGTCCGTAAGGACACAAATTCTACGCTCATGCAGGAAGTCAACTACCCAGGAACAGAACTGGGCAGGCAGACCGTATGCCGCAAGCTTGGAGAGAAGTCTTTTGTGTCAGACCCTGTCAAACGCCTTGGCAATGTCAAGGCTGATAGCCAACGACTCGCCTAAAACCATGCTGACGATCATTGATCAGAGAGTGATCTACACTACTACACTAGGACTTTACATAGTACTGAGGTGACCGCTATTGGCCGGTAGTTGGCCGGGTCTGAGCGATCCCCTTTTTGGGCACCGGTTGCACGTTGGCATCTCTCCAAGTCTCCGGCACACACCCCAAAGAATACGAGCTTTGGTATAAGCGCGTGAGCGCAAGAGAGACAACTCCGCTGCACATATTTTCAGTACTACTGCTGGGATGCCATCAGGTCCACTAGCTTTCCGGACGTAGAGTGATTGCAATTCGGCACGAACCTCACGCTGCATGATTTTAATATCAGGCATCGTTGTGCCAAAATGAGGTAATGATGGTGGCAGTGCTTTGCAATCATCGATTCGGGAGTTAGCGGCAAAGAGTTTTGCCAGTAAATCGGCTTTCTCCTGCGACTTATGAGCTAGTGTTCCGTCTGGGCATCTCAGAGGTGGCAGCGAGGGCTGGCAGAAGGTTTTTTGCACGGCCTTGGTCAAACACCTGTAGCTACGGGAGCCCGTAGGATGCGTTATAAGTTCCTGACCAACACGTGCGAAGCGCTGGGCATCCGCTCTGATGTAAGCCTTCTTACAGGCCTTGGAAGCAAAAGTGTAGGCTGCTTTGAGTGCATCGACCTGACTGAACCAGAGATTACGTGTGCCCTTACTAATGAGATTAGAATGAGGAATATAGTATTCCATACCCATTATAATCTCCTCAGTAATGGCAACGGCGCTGGTCGATAGGTCCTTGTCACTGAAGCAGCGCTGCTTCCAAGGGACGGACGCAAAGTAGTCACGCGTACCGTCCCAATCTGGCACTATGCCAGATACGGCGTTTGACCACTGCTGGACGCGAGGTCTTGGCCTGTGGTGCTTTGGCAGATATCAGGCAGTGATCTGACGAGCCCAGGGGGGCAGACTCTGGTCAGGGCACCAGAGTCGACGTGTAACCCCAGCATGGAGGAGGGATCTTCCAAGCAGCGGAGACGGCGACAACAAACATCCGCAAGAACAAACAGGCATACACAGGCTTTCGCTTTGAAGGACTCTTCAAGCACGTAGGCGGATAGTTGAGGTAGCCTGTGTCAGCAGGCGGAAGTATTTGTGTCTCCGTTAGGAAAAACAATGCTAATGCTGTCTCAAGATGATGGTGGACAGCGTTGAGGTTAGTGTGTAGTGTTGCCCAAATTCAGTCTTGGTCTTGCAGTCTTGGTCTTGTTCTTGCATTTTTGCAAGACCAAGACCAAGAACAAGACCGCGTATTTTTAGCAAGACCAAGACTGACCGTGCAAGACTTGAGCAAGAACAAGACTAATCCGGCAAGACTCTTGCGTCTTGCAGCTAGGACTTCGCGCTATTTCACGGAGTAGTTAGGTATAACATTTTTATCAATTAATGGTACTTTAGGTCTATTTGTAAACATAAATTGTAAAATTGTTTGTATAAGACTGTTTGTTACCTGAATTAAATAAAAAAATAAAATAAATAAACAGTTCGGTGTATAGGTACACTTAGGAATTCTATGAGACGCAAAAAAATGTATTAAAGAATATGAAAAACTGGACTATGCGCATTACGACCAATACCATAAACATACATAGCGAATAAAAAAAATTCTATTAAAATCAAACAGAGTGCATGCATAGCTTTGTTTTAACCATCGGCATTTTGATAATGCGGCATCAAAGGTTTTGTACTGACTTCTCAAAGAAAGCCGCTTTTCGAAAGTACATGGTGATGATACACGCGCGCGCGGCTTCTATTGAAATCACATACAACAATCGTTGCCGCCGCGCCGAAATCACAACATTTGACACTATTTGATTGCCGCCACAGGGCCTAGGTATACTCATGCAAACTTCTAATTTCGTGTCGTGCCGTCCCACTCACGCTAATCCTATTTAATATATGAGCGAGCGAGACGGTACGACACGAACTTCGATTTTTGAATTTTAGAATATAGGTGTTCCAAAGAATAAATAAGTTTCAGAGTGCTTAGAATGGAAACAAATACATTATACTGATCACGCAAGTAGTATTATGTTTAGATATAGATAAGGATAGGTAGTAGATGTCATAATAATTTATTCTAGTAAGTATATATTATAATATTGATTATATGGGTTTAAATTAATTACTTAGGTACTATTTAATATTGTTCTTTAAAATACAGTGAAGTTATTGTAATTTATTTGTTTTTTACATGTTTTAGCACATGTAAGCTTCTAAAGTGTAAATGTTTATTAAGAAAGTTACTTCCATGGAAAGCGGCATATAGCTCAGTTGATAACCATGTGGCAGTTGATTTTTCGAATTTTGTTATCAAATCTTCAGACATTTATTAATTTGATTAGTCTTTACTATGACTATTTTAATTCAAGCTCACAATGTTTCAATTCTAATACGATTTTCTAAGATCTAAAGTAAACTTTAATAAATAGCAATAGTTTAATAGGTAATTGCAAGACTTGCAAGACTCTTGCTGTAAGACCAAGACCAAGACTGGGAGTGCAAGACCAAGACCAGGTGTATTGGCGCAAGACCAAGACCAAGACTGGCTAAGTCTCGTCTTGTTCTTGCATTTGGGCAACACTATTAGTGTGGAGTCCGCGTATGTCCGCGACCGCGACCGACCTCATACAGCGTTTGCGGTCGGTCGAGAGAAACTTCTGCAATCGCATACCGAAAGCCCTTATCACTTGCGCCATCGAAAACTTTGTATGTATGTAAAGAAGCAAAAGGAGGAGAGCAGTGTAAAGGCAGCTATTGATAGGCTTTTATATTCAGCATGGGAAAATATCTCAGTGTCATTTGACTTTCTCGTGGTCCTTGATGTAACATAATTGTTATCTTTAATCTTTTGAATTGACAGCTACTGTTAAAAATATTTTACCTTACAACTTCAAAATTAAACTATGTATAAATCTAACACGAACCTTGTTGCGTTGATTGTTGCAAGTCAAGTTGGATAAGATTCCAGCGGCACAAGTGACGATGTTCACGTCAGTAGACGCGAGTACTTGCACCAAACTCTGCAAGAGTGCCTCCAAGCCCTCAACCTGTAGGAAATAATTACTAACTTTAACAATTTGTTTCAAATCAATAAAAAAATCTGTCAAATTCTTTTGCTTGAAAAGACATATTAATCAACTGCAATAATATAATTTTCTAGTAATTAAGGTATTAGTGTACATTTTTAATTAAAACTTGTACAAAATGCGATTGCTTCTTTTATTTTTCTTAACATTTGTGCAAAATACCATGTAGACAAAAACGTGAGATGCTGGCACTTCACATGCCTATTTGTATTTGAAATTCGTCAACAAATAAAAATAGCCATGTGAAGTCCCAAGTGCGAAAAGTCAAGAAAAATTAAAGACATGTAAAAAAGTCACACTACTACCCGTTCCAAAATTTTTTTTACAAAATGATTGATGTGCATGAAACATAAAAAAATACTTGAAACTGTTCATACCTTAGTAGCAGCGTCTGACAGATTCCTCAAAGTCCAAAGGCAGTTTTGGACAAGACGGCCACTGGAGTTACCCAAATGCATGGCCAAGGCTTGCATACCACCTGCTTCTACTATAGCTGGTTTGTTGCTTGAGCATACTGACAGTACCTAAAAGATAGGAAATTATATAAGTGTTTTTAGCAAATGGAATGAGATCACATGTATAATTAATAGACAATTTACCTTCAGAACCCTTGAGGTGGTCCACAACAACTTTTCGTAATCATAAGAACGCATAATGCGAACTAATTCAATAGGTCCTTGAGAAGCAAGGATGATGAGCTTCGATTCCTGGTTTCCATATGCCAAAATCTGGAGGCAATCAGTCACTATAGCTAGGAACTTAACATTGTTGCGCTGAAGTAAAGCCACCATTTTCTGTAGACCACCAGCGAGACGCACGGCCATTTTTGAACCATCTTGGTGAAGCAAAAGATTGTGAAGAGTAGTGATAGCGTAGAACAATACAGACTCCACAGGAGAGCTGAGAAGCTTCACTAAAGCAGGGATCCCGCCACTTTTGAAGATAGCCAATAGACCTTGGCGATGGTGAGATAAATTGTGCAAAGTTCCCACAGCTCCTTTGGTAGTTTCCAAGTCATTGCTATAGGAAATGGCGCGGACTAAAGCCGCAACCATTTCAGGAGAATTCATGATGGCATGACGAGACGCTTCCTTCTTGGATAACTGGTGAACCATCATAGCTGCTTGGGAAACTACTACTTGGTCTTCATCATTCAACAGTTTGATTAATTCTGGTATAGCCCTAAAAAAGGTAAGGTTTTTATATTTATATAGCTGATAATGTTGAAGAACTGCTCCTGCTTTTGGTTGTTTGTTGTAGTAAACACTTATTTTTGTGATTAGCACAAATAAATATTTTATCTATACTATTTATTTTTTTTGTTATTTTTTAATTTTGTAACAGAGGAATATCAGCTAAAGCTGATTGATATATAAATAGAAATAGTTTTTTTCTGTTTAACTTTATCATGTTAACACAAAGCATTTAATATTGAAAGCAATAAAACACTTTCAATGTTTACTTAAAATTTATAGTTACCTTGTGGCTAAATCAGCATCATCTTGATAATTTATCAAGTTTACCACAGCATGCTTCAACATCTGCGATGGTTCGGCCAGACGCTGGACCGCAGTAGGTTGGGCTGGATCCAACTGAGTGGAGGGAATCTCAATGCCCTCCTCCAGTGTTTCAGGGAACATGGCAGCTCTGACTCGCTGGGAACGAGTCTGTTGTAGCTGCTGGTTCATATCTGTTTGGGATAAATATTTAATAGAGAAACACATAAATAAATAGGCTAAAGCACAAGATGTTATTATATTGACATCAAATTTACTTTGGTACAAAAAGACATGTATAAAAATAAATAGAGCTTGTTTAGTAAAAAGGTCAAAGACAGTATTTTAGCTTTTAAAGGCCAGATTTTAACAAAATAATTGAACTATAAAAAAGTAACTATAAAAAATCTGTAGCTTAGTAGTTAATTGATTATTAAATTATTTTATACATACCATCAACTTGTTCCTGGGTGAACCCCTGGGCAAAGCCTTGGTCCAAATCAAACATAAGTTGGTCTCCCTCCATTTCATCATCTTCCTTCCCAGTGAGAGATGGCACCTGGAATAATTAAAAAAAATGATTTATCATCATTATATAATTGTTTGCAAATATCATAAAGAAATTGAAGTTATGGCTTGTACTAAACAATGAACAAACTAAAAATGGCTATCTAGTTAATTTATATGCGGTAGAAGTAGGAGCCAGAGGTATACCAGCAAAATCTCTCTATAACCTTCTGGAAGACTTTTGGAACGAGTAACTAAGGCTACACTAACAGGCTCCTATCAAATTTGGCTAGAAAGGGTAAGCAACTGGAGCAGTGAAGGTGAGCATTGATGCGCATCTTAAAAAAGGCCTCTTTAAACCTACACCTGGGTCATAAGTCCCAGGAACTGCTCAGTTTCCGTCTCTCTCACAAGATGGACCCAGCACCCATATGGTGAATCCATGGATTGACAATCTTCTTAGTTCATCTCAGGTAACTAAACGTCTTGTATAATATTTTAGATACAATATGGCTTAACCATACTTTTGGGCTCAGGAGCTTTGTTATTGTACCAGCTAGGATTTTTTAACTTAAATAAATTCCCACAGCATGCTCCATTTTCAACAATTCTTCTAGAAATTAGTAAAGTTAATGAGGGGGGTAATATTCAAAATCTTATATTATTTATTTGTGGGAAAGCTATATCAGGAGCCCCTAATATTAAAGGCACTAATCAATTTCCAAATCCACCAATTATAATTGGTATAACCAATTAATTAAATAAATTCTTTAAATTAACATTGTGTTAATAAAGACCCTTTGAATAAAAAAATGTGAAGTAAAACCTCATGGGCACAGAGAGCACAGTTTTACCAAAGTATATATTATTAAAAAATTATGAATGTTATCCTCTGATGTCTCATCAGAGATTTAGTCAATGACTAGCAATCTGTGATTTTAACTTTGCTTATACTTTGACTAGATAATGCGCAATTACAATATTTTTTGTCTTAATTGCTTGTACTGTTAATTATTTCTATAGGTTATGATGTAAGAGATGTGCAAGCCTCACCTGAGTTGCAGCTCCAGAATTGATGCCAGAATCAACAAGGTATGAATTCTGCTGCCACATAAGGGTCTGTTGCTCCTTACTAGGAGCCATTGGCACATCAGAACCTCCATAGTTGCTATGGGACACTAAAAATTTGAAACACAGATGAGACAAAATTAATAATATTTTACAATTAAAGCCATAAAATATTTGATAAACAGTACTGCAGCTAGGTAATCTACTTGTTCATATAGATTTATATGAATTTAACTATGATTGTTTAAATAAATAAATTAGAAAAGTCATATTGAAGTCCTAATCAGAATAATAAAAAGATTAAGAAATTTTAATTTTAACTAAACAAGAACAATTATGTTTTCATGTTAGAATGAGATAGTATAATCAAATTACTTTTGATACCTAGCTACAGGTAAAGGAACAGGCGATACCTTTCGCATGAGTCACAGTGCTCTCTATGATGATGGGAAAGAGAGAAATGGTATACCAAGTTCAGATATTCCTTTAAAAATACATAAAAACAGAAGAAAACAGATTTATGAATAAGTAGGAACTTACTTGTGCGGCTTTGCGATGATGGTATCTGATAGCTCATGTTTAGAAAGGATGCAATAGTGCACCCTGTCTCTGTGAATAAAAAACAAACACATCAACGTCCGCACCACTTGTGGAACTACAAATCAAAGTCAGTCTACCAAACCGAACATGTTTTTCACATAAACACAACTCTTGGTGCTTTATGCAATCGATAGGTCAAGTATTGAACCAAATAAAACAAACAAAATGTATCTGAACTAAATACCACACCCCGACTCACATACTTTAGTAAGGTAAAACCTTTATCAATTTCAAGAATTGGTATTATAAAATCAACAGGGTGTTTAATAAGCACATTATTATCCTACCTTAATTACAAAGCCAGTAGTTGATAAACAATACAGGTTTTTTAATAAATTCTCAGAAATTGTACGTACAATGCAATCACACAGCGTCACAATCTGACATCAAACATGGCGTCGAACTCGGATAACTTCGGAAATCGTCGGGACATACATGATAAACAAGCACGAGAAATCTATACTTGTCTTTTTTGCACACCTTTATGCCGCAATCTAGATGTCTCTTTTTATCTCAGAAACAAGAAAGTAAAGTTCCTTGGTACCAGGATCAATTTTCTATTTTAACGTTCCGTTCTTACAGCTAGCGACATAAATAATTTAGAATTAAATTAAATGTTATCCAAATACACTATGAATTTCCGATTTAAGGCTTTCTAAGTTTTAAAGGAAATCTCATTGGCATCAAGTGAAAACAAATTGCTTTGAAATTGCGAAAATTACATTATTTTATTTTTGACTACGTCAAACGAAACTTTCAGATTCCTAGAAGATCTTATAGTCCGAGATCCAAGTCACCGCAAACTTACGAGATTTTAGTTAAGACGAAATTTTTAGGAGCGCAAGTCTATACTAATATTATAAAGAAGAAAGATTTGATTGTTTGTTTGTATTCAATAGGCTCAAAAACTACTGGTCCGATTTGCTAAATTCTTTCAAATTTAAAATCCTACATTATCCCCGATGAACATAGGCTATAGAGTATTTTCAAAAAAGTTAGGGTTCGTATGAAAAATTCGATAATGTTACCCAGGGTGTGAATAAAATACCAAAAAATAACCTTATATCGCTTACGCTGCGGAAGTCGTTGACAATAGAGCAAAGTGATATACTAATGTTTTTCAGAGAACATAAATATATATACAAAAAAGTCCGCGGTATCATATGTCCAACTATTATTATGTAGTTATGTCACAACTATAGGTCCTCTGCGATTTCACCCGCGTTAATTTGAGGGAAAAGGTTATAGTGAGTCAAACTTTTAAGATGGGCATATTATTATGCTGTCACGGACCTTTTTTTATAGAACTTTTAAAGGGAAACAATTCCATCATACATGATTTTTGTGTAACTAATATCATATAGGTAGCTTAAATCTTTCCTCAATAAATGCACTATCTAACTCAAAAAGATAATTACAAATAGGCATCATTAGTTCTTGAGATTTGCGCGTTCAACCAAAAAATGGTGCATTCGGCACAACGGGTCCTAAACTACACAACAAAATTTCACTTACATACGATACATTTTTCATGGAAGGTTTATAATTTATATAAAGACATACATATATAGAATCGACTTTATTTCCTAACCAATGATAAGACAAATAGACAACAAGAAAACAATTAAAATTTTGGTAGTGTAAGAGTAACTAGTAATAATTTTACGGCGTAACGAGTAGCTCAATCTTTCTAGATTTCACCTTCACAAATGGATCAATTTATTAACCGACTTCAAAAAAGGAGGAGGTTCTGTGTTCGACTGTATATTTTTTTTATGTATGTTCACTGATTACTCTGTCAATTGTGGACCTATTTCCAAAATTCTTTTTTTATTCAAAGGAGTGCACTTCCGAGGTGGTCCCATTGGAACCAAGACCCCTGACTTCCAAATCATAAACCACATATTATTTTTTACTTTTGACGTGACAACGTCTTAAATTAGGTTGCGGCTGGGAGTCACTTATGAAAAAGTGTAACGCTCGGTAACGTTACGATGAGTCTCTCGTGTTAAGTTTAAGTTTACATGTACAATGTTTTAGTAAACAAAATATATTTCTATAGTTAAAATTTGTGCAATTCTTATTTTCATTCAATTCCTTGTTCCTATTGTGCAATTTAATTATATTCATATCAATAAATATTCTACCGAGAAAAAGACGTTGTCACGTAAAATCTTCGCCCGTAAAACCGACTTTACAGGCAACCATTTTTTTAGTTCCATTTTCGATTTTGAAGTCAGTTTTATTTTTTGTTTTAAGTAGTAATATTAATTATCAAGTAACTATAATATCTAATAGATACAATTAACCTTACGTAATTAACTGAAATGAGATCTAAATCACTATTAAAGTATATAAGAATGCTAACAAACAAGTCTTATACGTATTTAAGACAAATACCATCATGATTTGATGAAGCTGTCGAACGAATTAATGGCAAAAATTATCACAATAATGAGTAAACTGCTAGCACCGGATCCGGTCTTCGGATCCGCTATATGGATACCGGATCCGGTAACCGTCAAATGATGCCGGATCCGCCGAATTACCGGATCCGTTTTCCCGGATTGCAATTTTCCCTAGTAATATACACAGACAGGTAAAAACTTTTCTTTTAGAATGCTGGCCACAAAAAAGTTTATTGAATTCGAATTTCGCATTGTTCATGAAAGTAAAAATGTATACTTTGTAGAATTTTACTCATTTTTAAATATGGAGTGGACGCTAGAAGACCGTGTTGCAGTTATTGCGTTGCATCGTTGCGGTTACGCGCCAATTCAAATTATTGACATACTGAAAAATTTGAATAAAACCAAAAAATTCGTTTATCGTACCATCAAACGATACAATGGAGACTAGTGTAGATGACTGGTCAAGAAGTGGTCGCCCTCGGTCTGTTAGGACTCCAGCAGTGATAAAAGCTGTGACGGCGCGAATTCAAAAAAATCCCAAACGTAAGCAGAAACTGTTGGCCCTTCAGATGGGGTTAAGCAGAACCAAGGTGAAAAGGGTGTTAAATGAAGACTTAGGGTTTCGGGCATATCGAAGAAAAACAGGGCATCGTTTGAATGCTCGTCTAATGGACCTGAGACTGAAGAGATGCCGCGCTTTGTTGAAGCGGTAGTGAAGAAGCGAGCAACCGTATTCCGCGTGTCCAACGAGGTCATTTTCCATCCTCGATCATGCTATGGTTGGGAGTTTCTTATTGGGGCTTAACAGAGGAACATTTTTGTGAGAAAGGTGTAAAAACGAATGCAGTTGTGTATCAGAATACAGTCCTGACGAACATTGTGGAACCTGTTTCTCATACCATATTCTATAACAGGCACTGGGTATTCCAACAAGATTCGGCGCCAGCACATAGAGTGAAGAGCACATAAGACTGGCTGGCGGCGCGTGAAATCGACTTCATCCGGCACGTAGACTGGCCCTCCAGTCCAGATTTGAGTCCGTTAGATTAGAAGTGTTGCCACACTTGGAGGAAAAGGCGTGCTCAAAGCCTCATCCCAATTTGGAGTCACTCAAGACATCCTTGATTAAGGCAGCCGCCGATATTGACATGGACCTCGTTCATGCTGCGATAGACGACTAGCAGCGCAGATTGAAGGCCTGTATTCAAAATCACAGAGGTCATTTTGAATAAAATTTATTGTCGTAAGAATCTATGTTTTGTTAAGTTCATATTGGTATATAAATGGTCATATAATGAATAAACTTGTTTCAATTATTTAAACATGTGACAGAATTTATGACCTGACTAGGTATACATTAAAATAAAATTTATTCTGTAAAGTTGAAGTTGAAGACAGACCGTTACTCGTTGGGTTCAGTAGCTCTCCTACTATTATTATATGGTTGCCAGGCACTTTAAAAGCCGTTCGTTAAGTTCAATTTGGTCGGGTCCAGCAACCCAAATACAGTGAAGTTCGGACATGTAGTGTTAGATGGCGTTGTTAAGGTGAAATATCTTGTGATTGTGCTAAAAGGTGTTCCTTGATGACACCGCAATATATTTTAATTGATAGTAATTATTACTTCATGAAATATTTTTCGTTTCTTAGGTTTTCATGATGATTTAATATTATCTTTATCTATATGTATATTTGTATGTAACTGACTCGTTTGGACTCGATTTTGCCCAACTTTAAGCGATCAGATTTCCTTTAAACTTGGCAAACACATGTAAATTAGATGACAATACAATATTATGGTACCACCGAGCTGATCTGATGATGAGACTGAAAGGTGGCTGATGGAATCTTGGGCTGCCTACTAGTAAACTTATCGAGTTTGGGCTTATTAGATTCGTCTTAACATATTCTGTTCATTTTTCCTGATGACGAGGACCCGATGAAGGACTGGAAGGTGGCTGATAGACCCTGGACTGCCTACTAGTAAAAGAATCGAGTTTGTGCTCATGAGATTCATCTTAACATAATAAAACTTGGCAATTATATGTAGATTAGATAACAATACAATATTATTGTACCATCGAGCTGATGTGATGATGGGACTGGAAAGTGGCTGATAGAACCTTGGACTGCCTACTAGTAAACATATCGAGTTTAGGCTCATTAGATTCGTCTTAATATATTCTGTTTATTTCAAGTTAAAGAGGGGTAATAAAAAAGTCTTGCAATAGTGAAGCCTTATCGGAAATGGAGAGGACGATTTAGTCGCAATAAACTCGTTCTATGTTTTGTAATAAACTAAAAAGAGATAAATAAATTAATAGTTTAAAAAACTAAAAACACGCTTTTGACAAATGATTGGTCTCTCAAATTATTGGTAGCGAGACCAATAATTTATCTATGTTTGGGGCTGGTGTGAAAAAAAAAACTTTACATTTTAGATCTGGGGAAGGATTACAAAAAGTAATAGTTTAAAAAACTAAAATCACGCTTTAACTTCATGCACTAAAAAGTCAAAAATAAACAAAATATACTCTCTGTTTACTTCATTAGGGCTTTAGAGTAAGCCATGGTTTATAGTTGATTTTAAGATATACCTATTTATATAACTGAAAAAAGTGTGGGGCGCTTCATTATAAAATTTTAACTGAATTGTTTAACATTATGCATCACGTAATATATTAATTGATTTGATAAATATTACAATGAAAAGCGCCCCACACTTTTTCAGTTAAATATCTTATATATAAAATTCTCGTGTCACAATATTAGTAACCATACTCCTCCGAAACGGCTTGACTGATTTTTATGAAATTTTATATGCTTATTCAGTAGGTCTGAGAAACAGCTACTATCTAATTTTCATACCTCAAAGTGATAAGGGTTGATCCCTAATATTTAAAATGTGGTATTAAAAATACATACAACCCTTAATTTTCATCCTTCTACCGCCAACGCCTTATTTTATACAGAGAATATGTTTTGTTTATTTTTAACTTTTTAGTGCAGTAAGTTAAAGCGTGTTTTTAGTTTTTTATACTATTATTTTTTTTGATTCTTCCCTAGATCTAAAATGGAAAGTTTTTTTTTCACACCAGCCCCAAACATAGATAAATTATTGGTCTCGCTACGGGTCTTAGCGAGACCAATCATTTATCTTTGGCCCCAAAAGTAAGCACTTTTACACAAGCTAGGAAGCTAGGCTAACGGATTATTATTTAAGTATATTTTATTAAGTAATATGTATAAAGATCCATGACTTAGATACAAAATGATCGTATCTATTCATCATACTAACATTTGCCCTTATCTGTGCAAGCCTTTTAATTAGATACTCCCTGTTACCTCCAATTCAGTAAGTGACATTGACATAACCTACGGACACGAAAGGGAATAGGAGAATTTATTTTAAAAGCAAAAATGTCTTCCAGTATTTATAACATACCCAATTTCAGCGCATTTAGTATTCACCGTCACAGCCGCAATCTTTTGTCGGAAAGTGAATCTGATATAAACATATTTGTCAAAGAATATAAAGACCGTGTTGAGAAACAGTTGATTCAGGGAGAAGAGCACGAGAAAAGTCTTGTATCTTTCGCTGACACAATAATACCTGAGCCTGAGCACGACGAAGAATGGTTGAGAGATAATTATAATAGGTTTTTCCACTACACGCCTAATCTGGACTTGTCTAAAGTTCACTTTTTAACAGAGATGGGATTTATATGCAGCATGACTTTTGCCCCTGATGGCGCATTTCTGATTGTTGGACATTCTTCAGGATTAATACAGGTATGCCAGCTTAGGTGATGAAAAAAATTAGGTATAATTTTGTATAAGGCTATTTTAGTGTAAGTATGGTATGTGGTTTTAAAAGCTCGAAGGACCAACATACCTAATGTAAAGTACCTAGTGAAGGTATGACGGACCTCAGAATTGTATTAAATTAAATAAATATAAAATAATAAATATTTCCAACACTCGCACCAATTAGCCTAGCCCCAAACCCAAAGTAAGCACTGTAAGGCTTGTGTTATGGGATGCTAGGGTAACGGATAGAATACATATACAGTACATATATAAGTTTATTTATATAGAAATACATATTAAACATCCATAACTGGAGTACAAATGCTCGTGTTCATCACACAAACATCTGCCCCACCGGGATTCGAACCCGGGACCTCTCGAGTCGGCGACTCCATGAAACCCGGCGTACAAACCACTCGGCCACGGAGGTCGTCAGGTCGTCAATTTGTCTTAATACCTCATGTCATGATCTTATCTGTTTTACTTAGGATCAATTTTAAATGAGAAGGAGTAGATAACAACGTTCTAATTAGAACTACCTATATCTACTACGCATGAATTGTTTATAAAGGCTGTGAGTTACACCCCTTACATTAGTTGCTAAGTTAACTTAGCAACTGTTGTAGTTACCCCGTATGTAGCTCGTTAGCTTGAGATTATGCCAACCTACAGCGGGCAATTAGCGTAAGTGCCACTTCCATAGCCTAAGTAAAACAAAACTAGTAGGCCAAGCTGTCGACATGGATGACATAAATGAAATAATTGCCAAGTTTTCCGAAGACATACATACATATTACAAATCGCAACACACGAGTCACATCAAGGATGTCTGGTATCCCATGTTTTATAATGGGACTGTTATTAGGAAAAATAAACATTCTTGGGTAAAGGAGAACTATCAAAAGTTTTTGAAGGATACATCTAAGGAAATATTGATGAATAGATGGTTGTATGGGGAATATGGATATATAACTGCCCTTGTTTATTCTCCCAGCGGTTACCATATCATTGTTGGTCATTCGTCAGGGTTAATCCAGGTAGGTACAAACACAGGTAAATCTTTTAAGTTTAATAAGATCAATCCGTGAGGCTCAATTATGATGCAACAATGAAGTTTGAATTTTTCTGTTTACATGCTTATATGTAAAACGTATGATCATATAAATCTACAAAAATCGCCTTGGTATGTATCAATGTTGAGACTTTTTCAAAACATTGTTTATATTAAAAATCGCCGAAGTTGACTCATTGGTTATTTAAAAAGTATTTCTTTTAATAAGTGAAAATTACCTAATACTATTATGAATATATAGTAAACGCAAAAGTGATCTGCCTTTTTCAAATTTCTATTGAAACATATTGGAAGTTGTTTTAGATCGCAGACTTCTTTGATTCCACTTCCACAGAACAGTATCGCAAAAAATACTACTAAGCTGTAAAATAGGATCATTTTTTTTTCAGATGCGTCACGGTATAACTGGTACAGTTTTATGTACTCTACGCAATATACAGTTTCCACCGAAACCAGTGTACGCTTTGGAATATAGTCGATTGGAAGATAGAGTTTGTTATGCTGCTTGCATGGATGGAGCCGTATACAGGATTGAGATACCTAACGTGGGTTGTATTGTATTTTGTAGAATATCACATTTACTTAGGTGCCTTACTAAAATGTCCACCAAAATGATGCTTCAATTCTTTGAAACAGCTTAGCAGGATTTAAATTCGTAAAATGTTTAGGATTCACTTTGTTCATATCTTTTCACTGAAAATAGAGGGCTACATTTTTGTTTCTATCTAATTGCTTAGGATTAATACCTCTTGACATTTTGCATTAACTTTATTTTACTGGCCGAATATTTTACTTACTTACTCCCGAGATTTTAACAATAAAATTACGACTCGACAGTTAAGTAGTAAGCTTATCCGATGACTTAGGATGAATATTAATGAGAATAGTCAACCAACATTGAGATGTACTTATTTGGATAAATAATAATAAAAAAGTTCAACCGATAGAGTTTTATTTAATTCAAATCAATTTCCCAAAATGCAGTATAGAGGCACCCCTCAAGTTTTTCACTTTACAGATAAGCATATCGAACGAAGATGATGTAATGTTTTGTATCAGAGCGGATCCGGGATTGGAATCCCTGAATATGCAATTCTACGGCTCCCCAGGGATATCTTCATATTCGACACCTTTTGTCACTCGTAGGTGTACTGTGATGTTCCCATTTCTCTTTCTAAATTACGTACAGGATTTGTATACTTGGTCTTTTTTTTTAAGAAAGATCGCCTGCACTGTCACTGGGTATAACAGCAGATCAGTCGAGATTAGTCGTAGGTTACGGAGATGCATCTATCAAAATATATGACATGGAGACACAAGAGGTAAGAATAGAATTTAACTTAAGATTGATCAAAAAGTTGACTAATGACCGTCATGTAGTCATAGTGTGTCGTACATATAGATATTTTTATAATCATACCTGCGGTGGTTAGTGTTGAGTCGAGTTTAGCAGCTAAGTCAGCTCATGGGGCTAAGATATATTCAGCACTAATCACCCGTTATCTTACTGGCCTCTCTGCACATTGACCACGAGATGGCGAGCCAAGTGAAGTCATATTACTCATTCGCTGCAATAACACAAAACTACTTATACTTTTGTCTACATTGAGAGTATTTATTTCAAATGTTTCAGTCTATATAAAAATTAGGTGATAATCATACCTTCCTGTGTTTAAAACGTAGCTGCCATTGCACAAAACGGGCTGGTTTCCAAAGAATATATGAATAAGTATCTAATTCATAAGTCTAATCAGGCCCTATTTTGTAAATTTATATTTTCTAGAGAAATCCAAATCTTTAACGGTCTATATATAACCTATCTCATCTAATGCTAGTGTAAAATTTATCATAAGCGATTTCGCGGTAAAACATAATGACCAAACTCTCTTTTTCGTTAATAATGCATACTATGTTAGGTCTTGTAATTGCTTATTTCATTCCTATTGGTGGATATTTTAATGCCTTCTCTTTTAAACTGTTATTCTTCTGATATCGTATTCATTTATTGTTCGGACAACAATGTAAGAAGTATATACCTTTACGGACTATATAATGAAGAAAAATGTGTTTTGGCTAAAATAAACCCTTAAGCTGCTCAAGTACAAAAATGTACGAAAAGCCTTAAAAAGAGTGATTAATACTGTGTAAAGTGAAATAAAGGCAAAGTGTAACAAAAGTGTTAATTCAGATAGATCGTGTTAATTTCTATACTAATAATATAATTTAATTAGCAGTTAATGAAGTTTAATCCGAGAATTGAAAAACATACTTTAGTAACTTATATAAAGTTATTAAAAAGGCTTTGCATCGCTTACCTGAAGCAAGAATACATAAAAGCTAGATTGTAATTTATTGCTATTACTTACATACGCATAAGAAACAGAACATGAGTCTGTACCAAGGTGATTTAAGATTTTTCTCGGCGTATTTAGAAAATTTATGCTCATTGGATTCTTTATTGCATTTCAACAGTTTTATTTTATGTGCTTACCTACCGATGAGGTGCAAATGCGAATGCAGGTATTTTATTGTTCTTGAATATGTAGCAAATGGATTTTAAACTTTACTCATGTACATATGTACGAGTATATACGCGAGTTTTATAAAATGGCATACTAGGGATGTTCAGAAGCCCTGTTACAGTGACTTAGCTATCGAATACCTTTCTGAATTTATAAACAATATACTTAGGTGTCTGAAATTATTACCAAAAGCATATATTTTTGAAAATCACGAGATACTATTCCATAGAATTCCTAAAAATATGGTAACTATATAGACTATCGTAAATAATTTCATACACCTACGAAACCATATAACAAACCGGTCTTAATGATCATTTAAATACCCTCATTCGTAACACCTATCCATAAGCCATTCATTTCTAATAAGACTCGACCTGAACCTGGCTGGCAAAGCTAAAGTCAAGATAAATGATCAAAACAACACTTCAACATCTGTCATTCAAAGGAGGTCCCATTCTAGACCGTGTCGGGTCCTGGCCGGGCTTCGGCCGTGGCTCGGCAGGCAGGTCTCGACCAAGCGATAACCGGGCCGAACCAGTTCGAGCGAAAAGAATGCGAGGCTTCATTACATTTGTATAGTATTATTGTTGCGACTGCTCGAGCGCTGCTCGGCGGCTCTGCATTCTTGCAAAGACTGGCCGTGTTCGTGCCGAGGCGGAACTGATTTGTTTCCGGTTGTTTGCTGTCCGTTGCTCGGTTGACGCCGCTCCGCTCGGTGTAGCGTGTGTGTGCCCATATAAAATGTATGTAGTATTGGTTGACCGTGCTGCGGCCGACGCTCGACTCGGACCCGCCACGGTCTAGCGTGAGTCAACCTTTAAAGAATAGTAAATGCTCGTCTGAATATGCTCCTGTTTGTTGCTCTACTACCCTGCAGGAAAAGGACAGTAGATATGGGATATAAATGCAAATACCGTCCTACGTACCTACACTATTTCACACCTACCATATGCCCTTTGGACAATATCGAAATAATCATAATTACATAATATTTGTATTCATAAAAACATGCAATAAACTTTAACCCAGCCTTAGGTTAACGCTGAGTGCCGACCCAAAATAGGTCGCTCAAAACAAAAGGCTCGAATAATTCCAAACATTACAATTGTGTGCGTAAATGTAACCACCAATAAAACGTTACGGCCTAATCTCGGTTTACGGCCGTAATAAATTCAAACATTGCCTTTATGAGAACCGCAGAAGTCCTTGATCCTTTAAAAGTGGGCCTTTAGAATGGCGGAGACAATGAGAAAAGTTACGACCAGGAAATATCGTTTCAATAATAATTATTATTATCAAATGAGTGTTTTAAAAATTACGTTTTAGTTGAAGTTTTCGGCTTGATTACTTATATATTTCCATGCTAGCAAACATGATTCTGTGATGCTAGCCTGAAAAAAAAAAGTTATTCACTTATTGAAAAAATTCATCGCATTTATAATAATAATGCTTATCATTACTTACGATGCTCATGACCATCTAAATTATTATCATTTCATCTTTACACTATGAATTATAATCAAAAAATCGTTGATTATTTACCTACCTTATTTGAAATTAAAAAAAAAACTAGCAAACCAGTGAACCAAATGTTCCACAAAACCTGATTTCTCGAAAACCGGAAGTGCTGCGTTACTAACATCCGGTTTGTAGTCTTATCAGACTATTTATTCTTAACTTATAACTTAAATATTCTCTTTATCTATCTCTTACGGTTTGGCCGCTGAAACAGCACCACAGACAGACGGACGGACTTGTCTAATAGATAAGAGATAATATTTCACAGTTGGTCCTCAACAAATTGATCGATACCAAAAATGTTTTATAGTCTCACTTCAGAAAGGATGGGTACAAGGATTCGTGATTAATTTCATTGTAATTTAAAGGGAAAAGTCATCAGAATTTGCTTAATTTTGTCATATTTTTTGTTGTAGGCAGAAACTACGTACAAAGTGCATAAGTTGCGATTGCAATTCATACCCAAGAAACTGCAGAGGATGCATACAGGACAAGTCTGTGCAGTGAGATGCCACGACCAAAAGCCGACCATGTTCGCGTCTGCAGCTTGGGACAACACTCTAAGGGTAGGATATATTTGACTGGAAAAAAAGTATTTCGTCATTCCAACAATACAGAAAACGTAAAACAAACATAACATTTTTTTCCGGAAACAAAAACGGTAAGTTGTTCAGCGTTAAAGACCACCGCAATCCCGTAAGTCGCTGATTATAGTGATGATATAAGATACACATACTAGGTATGTATATTTTGAGGTATGTAGATAATATTGTTACGTGTCGGGATGGGTTTCGAAATTATAAACCAGTTTACGCTCGACAGTTTTTTATTCACCACACATTTCATACAGTTAACACACAATGTTAATCACATAACACTCATTAAACACTGTACTTCACTATACAAGTCTTTAAACAATCGCGCTAGAACACTTGCTCTGTTTTGAATTCCTTCCGAAATCGCTATTGAAACTCAACTGTCTCTGCACAGCGCCGATCGCGCTTATATACGCCAATCGATGCAATCTAGAAAAGTCCTTTTAAATTGAGAGTTAACTAGTACCCGCGAGTGCGTAGTACCTACTTATACCTACGTAGGTAACGCGCATAAGTTGTAAAAAAGTGCAGATGTCGTTGCACTTTCTCCCTTACGCCGCACTGTATTAGGCTCATATTAGAATGAGCCGCACCATTCGACCTTTAAACGTGATCTGCGGTGTTCTGGTAAATTCTTTCTCTAGTATTTTCGCGGTTTTGTTTCGAGAGAGTTCGTGACAATATATTATAATTTCCTCAGCATTGCACGGTATAAATTATTTTTATCGTAATAAAACATTTCTTAGTATGTCACTAAAGCTTAATGTAGCTTTTTACTGCTGAAAGAATTTTCCATATCGGTTCAATAGTACCAGATAATCTCTTCAAATAATGTTACTCTCCATATACAAAGTATATTTATTTATTACCTATAACTGTAAGTATAGATTTCCACACAGCTCAGCTCGTTTTGGGATAATCCTACTAATATAATAAATGTGAAAGTTTCTATGTTTGTTACTCAATCATGCAATTTGGCACAAATATAGTTGTACCTGTATTAAGACCTAGGATACTGTTTATTCCGAAAAAAAATTACCATCCTGGAGGATTCTGAAAAAACTAAAGGCGCGGGCAGTCTTGGTTAAATAAAATTATTAAATGACATATAAATAAATAAATATTTTCAACACTCACACCAATTAACCTAGCCCCAAAGTAAACACTGTATGTTATGAGATACTAGGGTAACAGACAGAATACATATTATGGTATATTTATATAGAAATAGATATTAAACATCCATGACTGGAGTACAAATGCACGTATTCATCACACAAACATTCGAACCCAGGACAATGTGGTAGTCAATATATTTTCTCATTGCAAAACTCAATGACATTAAGAATCATGTTTGTGATAAAAGCAAAGTGATCAAATCACTGTGATTATCCTTTCTTCGAAAATTCGAGCTCTAAAACTGTATCACAAACAAGCAAGTCGTGACATTCAAGATGTATGCTGCGAATGCCCTTGATCTGCAGAATAAATGTACTATATCCCTTGTTACCCACCCGTCTTGTATCAATATGTAAATGTCTTTCCGATCATGTAATATGTAAGGTGTCTCGAGTATTCAGAAGGTCAATTTTGGATACCGTCAGTGTTCACATTATATCTGTTTGAATATTAATATTTCTTATTTCCTATTCTTATGACGAGAAAAATCAAGGTTTTCCCAATGGACTTCGTCTGGTTTATTATGTAGGCACAAATGTTGCAAGATGAACCAGACACACTTTTCTATGAGACATAGTGTATTAAAATATTTCATTTTCAAAGAAGTACACAACCTGAATATATTGTTAGTATTTTTTCAATCTAAGGTCTTATATCTAACGAACGAGCTTTTATTAATTTTGATTTAAGTCAGACCGCTAGTGGTCTATTGAAAGGATCCGAATATTACCTACAGCTGCGAATTTGAAACTATTTTTTATAAAAAATCGAATTTGTTGTGAAATTATAAATATGAGCCATTACAATTTTTACATTTCTCAATTATAATAGAGTTCCACATCTACACTTAAAATCTTTCAAACATAGAATTTTTAAATATTTCTAGATAAATATACCTCCTTATATATGTATCAGTATAGGTCAAAGACATTAATATTAACGTATAGGTATGTAACCTTTACCCTAGTATCCCAAACCTCAATATGAATGAATGAAACTTTCTTTATTGCAATACATAGTGCAATAAAATTTATTTACTTATTCATTAATTTAAAGGCCGTACAGTTCTTACTTTACGGCTAGATTAATATGGAGTGTGTTAAAAAATGGCGCGTTATTTACTAGAATGACATAGATACCAGAATGTGAATCATAACGTGTAAGTTCTTAAAAAAGACTAAACAGGTACAAAGTTCTCACAGGCTAGGTACAGAGCACAACTTGATACTCGCAAACATAACTTGAATAAAACACGTCGACGGAGCGGCGCAACGACCGCGGACGGACGCGAAGCATAATACTTCTGACGAGATTAAAATATTTCGTTTAGCGGTGCACCGATGAAATTATTTATAAAGCGCTCCTGTGTGTCGACCTTTTAGCAGACACAAAGAACTTTGTCCTACGCTCCGTTGTTATGCACCGTTTGAAAACATTGTTATGATGATTCTGACATGTTGTTTTCTCCTCCAAAAGGCTTTGGATGCTTCGCAATTAATGGGTTTGTATGAATAATCTGCGTTTATTTTTTCATAATTCGAATGTTCATATTTGTTTACAGTAAGTAATATGAGAGCTTTAGTTGAAACTATTTTGTTGGACTGCCGTAATTTATCAGAATTTCTAGAAAAAATACTTTGAAGAAGTTTAAAAATGGATTTACTGATAACTTTGTACATCATTTCACACATAATATATGTTGAGAAAATATAAAGAGTGCACGATAGCTAAAAAGCTATGACAGACTATTTAACACCAATGTTATTTTCAATAAGGAAAATAGAGGTTGCCATCAACTGTGTGAGCGTATAAAACCCTCTAGTCCAACTCCAGCATTAGACAGTATTCAGGAATAAACCAAATTTGTATTAGAAATTAACTCCCCAATTTTACCACTATTCTATTTTGATGGAATACCCTTCAATGAGTAAGTTAGTTACTAAAGATGTTGATTTTTCTCAGATTTGGGATACGAGATGCAAAGTCGGCTGCGTGATGACATTCGAGGGTGTTGATATTTGCAGTGATAGTATTGATCTTAACGTAAGTAGTAACTACTTTATAGATAGTGTCCTCTTTTAAAAAGCCCTCAATTCGTGATTGCAACTTTAAAACCAGCTATCATTGTCCAAAATGGAGTATTCTTTAAATAAAAAAACTGCTCAGTTGAAAAAACACTCTCAGGGTCTATTAAAAGATTTGTATAACGCCAGGATAAAATGCTCATGTGAGCAATCCTTAGCGGCCATACTTAGAGACGTCAAATTAATTTAATGTTATTTAAAGTCAAGTGTTGTCTTTATTTGATGTCATCACAAAGGAATTAACAGCACTATCTTTAGTCAAACTCAAAAGCGAAATGATGTTTTTGAGTACGGGCGCAAGTTATGATTCTCAGTACAGTAGTTGCGATCTTAAATAGTAATAATAGTATGGGAAAGAATTAGGATTAGAGTTCGTTTTAAAAAAGTCTAAGGCGTCATAATTAATTATAAAATCTTACTGTACATGGTAAGAAAGCATGAAAGGTGATGAGGACGATTAAAATAAAAAGAATATTACAGAATGAAATCTAACTTAATATAAATTAATATTTCTTGTGGGTAAAGTAGTATTAAATAAATACTTACTCATCTTCAAAATCAAAATTTTACTACTGGTTTAATTAAAGCTGTGACTTTTAATGTCTTGTTTTTAAACAATGACGTCATTTTTCTTCAAGTATAATATTCATTTTATCGACAGTGTAAACGCGTTTACAGCAAAGTTTGTTGGAAGTTAACAAAGCTAATTAGCTAACACGAGCACGATCCCTTTTATAATGCAATATTAATTCCGAGCGTTTCAAAAGTACGTCCTTATCCATAATGCTGAATAAATAAACGGTTACATGATACGTAAATAACACGTTTCGTTCTAAATTTAATTGGGGCATTTTTGGGATGATTTAAAGGATGAAGATCTTTGTAATAGCGTAGGAAAAAGGATTTTCTACTTTGGAAGGCACGTTTGGTCGCACATTGATCCGAGCTGCTTTAATAATCGCTAGTAACCACCAATCCACGTAAAACCTTTATGGTGGTCTAAGGTCCGTCATTTCTACGTACATCTTTGCAGTGATAGGCATATGCCTCAGAAATGCTCATAATAATATTCCTATGATGATGGTAAGAAAAAGATGTTGTGTGAATATCATAGGTTGCGACAAAGAGATGAAGAATCTTAAGAAAATTCAGCTTGTAAAAATTCCAATCTGTATGATACTTGGACTGAGTGGAATCTAGCAGTTAAAAGCTAAAAATACTAATATAAACATTTTAGCAATGAATTTTGTTTTGTGCGGTTTTTTCTCTAAATCATTTTTTTATTATTTCTTTTAATAGAGTTTCATATATGATAATATTTACTTTACAGTCTGATAAATAATGTGTTGATATAAAATAAATCAGATTTAGATACTGTACCTAAGTACCTGTAGTGTATAAAATCCTTTATTAAATCGTAAAAAGTCAAGTGATCGATCAATATAAAAGATCACTATTGTATTAGATATTTATAGGTCCAAAATAATAATCACAGAAAACAAAAATGCGGGATAAGTGCGAGCCGGACTCGCTTACCGTGGGTTTCGTACAGATTTTGTACGTACGCAACATAAACGGCCGATTTCTTTTTTAAGTGAACTTAAGTTATGTACGTACGTAAGTTATATTTTTCACAGCTTCAAGGGACCATAGACTGTACTGTAACGTCCGTTACGTTACAGCCTCCTTGTTTAGGTAAACTCTTTGTTCTTACAATGCCTACGGTTGGCAGTTATATTAAAAAGTTAATGTCATGATTTTAAGATTTGAAATAAGGAATGTAAATCATCTGTCTTTTGATAGAAGGTTCCATACAAGAGACGATATTCAGGCACCAACCCTTGCGTAGCTTAGATAAAAAACGCCTTGTATTCGCCTGTGTCAAATAAATTTAATTTAAAATCCAGTATCTTTTAATTAGTAGATACGCCCCCAGGTTCTATCCACTCTGGCTAGAACTCCGCAGTACCTCCACGCATTCCCGAGATAAAGGGTCTTGACTCATGATAGACAGACGAACGGACGTACAGATGGGCGGACAGACAGACGGATGGACAACAAAGTGATTCTATAAGGGTTCTGTTTTAACTCTAAAACACTTGGTGTTGCTTCGACTGAAAAACTTACAATTTAACCTTATTTAACTTAAGATACTCTTCTAAAACACGTTCTCAGTTTTGAAATTATCACGTTTTTTATTAAAAAATCAATTAAATATTTTGTAAATACAGTACAGATTACTTACTTTAAAGTTAAAATATTTTTTATTTAGTGCTACTTACATATTGTGGTATTCCCGTATTATTGAAAGCGTGAATATGTATGATTATAATATCCCATCAGGCGGCCCATATGCTTATTATTGCCACTTTCGAAATTATAATCTATTTCTGTCAAAAAAACACTCAAATGATATTAATGCACCATTTACCACTTTAGTGAGACGAGCCTACGAAAAACATTCAAGTCCAAGGGAATATGATAAATGGTAGGGGGAACAAAATACACTTGGCATATTACGCCGCGAAAATATTACTTGTCTTGTTATGTCGCTTGTTCGCCGCGTGCTGTTTGGCTGTGAGCATTCCGTATAATGTTATTAGGCACTGGGTACTGGCAGAGTGTGGCCTGCGATGAGAGATAAACGAATTAATTTTTGCATGTAGCTACTTTTACGACAGCAAAAACTAACGTGCTTAAAAAATACAGTTAATATGGATTCATATAAAGTACACCCGGGACAGTATTCGATTATTGATGACATGTTAGTTACGGCAGTGAATCTGCCTCTTAACAGCTTTTACATCCTATAGTGAAAATCTCTAAGCAGAAAAAAGTCTGGCTTATTTTAATGATCCCATACGATAGCTTCCGTAACATTGTTAACAAATGTTGTAATTCTGAGTTGTTCAGTTAGAAATCAATTACACGATCGTAAGAAGTAAATGCCGATTCATATGCTTACTTATATTTTCAATATGATGTAGGTATAGCTTGGTAACTATCTACGAGTCTAGTCTACAACACTTTTGAGGTGTTGCAATGCTTTGTCACGACATTTGCTGTAAGCATTCCTAAAGTCAGATACGTGGAGTCAAACTAAATACGAGGCACTTTTAATTAGAAACTCAACCTTTGTCGTGGCGACTTGTGCAGTTTCTGCAGCTTAGAGCTTCTCTCGTTATGAACTTTGATGCTCCATAGTTTGCTGTTCGCCTTTGAAGGGTATTTACTTTACTAGCATTATTTTTAGCTTGTAAAACTTTCGTCGTTAGTCTGTCGCGTGCTCGGCAGATTAAGTGGACATGTGGGCGAGAATGCGCCGAAATGGACTAACATTTATAACATTAAATAGGAAATTACCCCCTCATATTGTATAAAACTCATTTTCACCATTCTGGTTACGTTTCCAAATGTTCACCATTACAGCTATACACGTTTTTGGAATGCTTTGCCATTGAACATTCGCAGTGCACGTAGTAAGTTGGAGTTCAAAAAACTAGTGCATGCAGACTATTTGACCACCTAATATTTCTCTAATCTGTAGTCATCTATGCCATCTTATATAGTTATTTCTAACTGATTAAGTGTATGAATATAATTATATAATTATGTATGTTTATTAATTTACATATTTGTGTATTTGTATTTATATATATAGGGATATTTTATTTATATATAATATATATTTATCGTTTATAGTATAGTATAGTTCTGTAGGATTTTTTTTCTCTAACTTTAGTAGTCGCACTCTATCGCCAAAACATCCGTCTCATACACCCATACTGGTTGACTGGTAGAGAATGCCTATGGCATTAAGTCCGCAATTTACTGTATTTTGGTAATAAAGAATAAATAAATAAAAATATTGTTTTTTCTAATATCTACATTTGTAGGCAATCGCTCTTATAAGAGATCTAAATTGAGTTTACTTTGAAAACGATAGGTATTTCAGAACATTTTGAGTTTTTTTGCACTAAATACAAATCTAAACGCTATCACTCAAAATATGAGACACAGAACAAAAGTTGGTCAAGGTGTATTTATGAATACGCACGTTACCCGAATTTAAAAGTCAATGAGATTATCATATGTTAAGTTAGCTTTTTGATAGGTAGCCTGTAGTAATTAAAGAAACAAAAAATAAATCTTCAAAGAGTACTAGTTTCATACATTTTTACAGATAATCTCAAGCACATAGGTCAATCTTAAATAAAAGGGGAGCGATTACAATCTGATTAATCAATTATGTTAGTAATAACAAGCACTGCAACTTACAGAGAGATCATTGCATCGCGGGCAGTTGGCAACCGACGGAAGCACTTTGTGTATGGGACTTAGTAGCTCGAAAGAAGCAAAACATCATCAGGGTTCAAAACCGAAGACCAGACGTCGACGGGGAGTACATATATGCTTGTCGTTATTGGAAGTCTACACAGGTCATCATCATCATTACCAGCCTATTAATGTCCCCAATGCTGAGACACGGGCCTTCCCTATGGATGGAATAGTGAGATTGGGCCGTAACCCACCACGCGGGCCCAGTGTGTATTGGTGTATGCTAATGACTGCAGATGTAGCTGGGAAAGGCTTAACCTGCTTTTCATCCATCCAATGACAAACCATTGCGAAAGTTGTTTGACTTCAACGATCGCAGGCCAAACGCACGTGTTTCTTTGATATAGGCATTTGTTTTAAAAGATATAAGAAATACTTTTCACCTAATATAGTAAATGCAAAAATATAGAGAAATCACAAACATAAAAAATACCTCAAGGAAATGGTGGTGATTATAGGTATATACCTGTAGGTACATACCTGTTTTAAATAAATGAGTCAAAAATGCTAAAAACAATTTCTCAGTTATTGTTTTGAACACAGATTTAAATCTTTAGTTTTGAGAACAAAAATGATTAAAAAATAGATTAGTGAAAATTCTGACAGCCAACGGTATCATATTTTTTTATAATTTGGTTTTATAATTGCTGTAAACACAACTTTAGATGAAATAATAATGAGAGTAATTTTGACGTCATCCGAGAACGTATCTGTCAGAGACAAGCTTCCTTGTTTTCCTTTAATTTCCGAGGAACAATGTTCTAATATAGGCGAAGTTTCTGGATTCTAACGCTAGATGCGGTCATGTCGAAATATCTTTGCCAAGTTTAATGATTTTAACTCGAGTGAATTCGACGCGAGAGAGAAGATAGGCGGGACGTTTAATCTAATGATGAACTAAAACTTCAACCCATTGACCAGGCAGACTGAGTATTCTAATATAATTTCCAAAGTTATATGTTAATGGCAGATTTTTTTATATCTATGTTACAAGTTCTATTTAATTAGAGGTATTTTTGTTCATATTTATAACCCGAGACGATAACACAAGCAATCAGGATAGGAGTACAAAAATATGTAGGTTTTATAAATACCTCACTAGATATCGAACCTAGTGGGAACTTAGAAAAATTGCCAATATTAAATTGTAAGAACAGACAAAATATCTGGAAATTGGGACGATTTTACGACTTTTTCATTTTCAAATTGAAAGCGAATGGTTCTTATTGAACAAAATAAAAACAACCAGACTTGTCTGTCGTAATCGCCATTACTTGTCATAAGTTGGACATTTATTGGGCCTAAGATATTTTCCAAAGACAATAACTACATAGGCCGCACATTATCGTTTTTATGTTTACAAAAACTCCGTCGAATGAATAGAGTTCAACAAAGTAATATCGCTTTTGCTTGAAGTCCAGCTTGGTAGAAAAATTTTAAAATTATAACTTAATTACCTTTTTCAGCTCCATGGCGCGGGTGTTAGAGTCGTCTTAACTTTGACAGTCTACGACTGTGAAAGTTAAGCAACTTTTACAATGACCGGTCATAGTATAGCTGACCAAAAATTTATTATATCGAGCTCTTCCGTGCTTCGGAAGGCTATTCAACCATTAGTTCCGTGTACATCTGTTAGCACCTAAATTGGTAGGACAGACGTACAAAGTTTGTGTAGTGCGTCGTGGCCCATTCTCACTATTTCCTCCATCCGGCGTGGGAACTTTAATAAACTTGACATAGTTTTATTTTGCAGTACAATCGCAAAGGAAAATACTGTATCGTCGGTGGCAGCGGCACTAAATGCGTTGAAGTCATCAATCTTCATAATAGGTGAGTATCGTGTAGTCTCGCTGAGTGGTATGGTGGGTGATGTATCAAATACTTTGCTTACATAATAAGAAAGGTTGACTTTAATCACGATTACTTTATTATCGATCGCGGTAAAGCAAATATAATTTTACATTGAACTGAACGCAATTATGGAAATTACTTTTACGTCGAAAATACAAGTTAACAGTATTCCAAAATTATAAAAATAAAAATAAATTGCCATCACACGATTAGGCTTATTTTTTTGTCAATCCTTATTGTCAGACTTATAGCCTGCGCTGACGAGGAACAATTGTCCGCGGGCTTTTTTGTCCGTCAAAATAGATCGCTTACAGCTGCATCGAGTAACGTACGCGACGTATTTAAAATACCGCGTACATTAAGTCCCCCGAACAACCGAGCACTCCGAGGAACTGGACAGGACAAAAGTACGCGGGTGTCCCCGACTAAAATAGAATTCATGTGACTGGGCGCAGCAACACACACAGAAAACTTTAGTCCGTGTTGCACGCCCGATCCGATTTGAAGAGATGGTCCAGTATTCTCTTTTAAAACGTCTTCTCCTTTTCTAAAACTACATTTTAATTACAATATAATGTAATCTGAGAATATTTAGTTCCATAGAGTTTCCCTTTTAAAAAATTCGGGAGCAAATACCTATACGCACATCGTATGCGAAGTCCGCGACATGTCCTCGGCGGACATTTTTTTCACGATTCAGGGACTTTTGTCCTCCGCGGACAAAGGCGTTTGTCTGAGCGGGCCACAAGGTTTGTGTGAAAGACACTCCATATTTTCTTCATTATTAAATGTAGCCACCCGAAGCTGGGTACTACTTGTTAATAACACTGATTTATCGTTCAAGTTTACAAGTCTGTGGTAGTCGGAATGCGAATGTTCTAAACTTGCTACCGCCAACCCAATCTCCATTGAGAAAAATTTTAGGAATCAAACATTATTATTATTTTATACATGTGATCAAACAAAGTACATAGTACTGAGTAATACGTACGTAACTGAAAGAAAGAATGAACAACATTTATTGACGACATACATCATCAATTATTACAATAAATAAAAATCGAACATAGAGCAAAAGGTACATCGTCAACTAGGCCCACTTTAGCATAATGTTGCAACGGCAAAAATGGATTGTTGCTGCAACGCTGATACTCTGGAGGGACCTAATTTGGACATCAACAGACGGAGATACAAAACAACCACTTAAGAAAAAGCAACAAACACAAAATAAAAGAAGTTATTAATAATATTAAAACAAAACAATAACAAAAAAAACGACAGGTTGCACATCGGGAGTTCCGGCAGAAGTGAAAACTTGAATATTAACGTTGTGCATTTTTGATATTTTGGAATGGTTAGGGAATAATTTTGCACGAATGCTTGCAAATTGCACGAATTATCAGTATAAAAGTACTATCATTTATGTGGTAAAATACAATATTTATTTATTGCGCTATCGTACACAAACATGACAATTTATATTACATTAAAAAGTTTATCTCTCAGAAAATTCAACTTGCATGAATCACATTTAAGCGCACCTCGCGACATCTATTGTAAAAAAAATCATTTTCTTCGCAATAAAGCTGCCACCTGGACGTCCTAATTAGATACTTATTATTATAATACGCTAAAATAAAATATTACTATGTTTCGTCCAATATACTGAAAGTCAACAAACTTTCCAATTTTATTGTTTTCGTCTTACGAATTTTCGATTAGGTCACGTGTCCGGACGCGATCAGGCCACATCTTATGACGCGATCAGGCTACGTGTCCTGAAGCTAGTTTAACAATTTTTACCCATTACAAAAAAGTACATCGCTGCTAAAGAAGTTTTCACTTCAAAAACAATACGGATCTGAACCTCGCATCCCTTGTCCAAGGATGTCCAGCACAAAAACAAAAAACTTATCATAAGAGGCTGTGTAGGCTCAGCTCTTCGCCTACAAAGATTCGGCCTAGATACACAAAAGAAGAAAAAAACCATTACTTGTGAAATGTAAAATATGGAATAAAAAAATGGAGACGAGACGACACGACACGTAATGGAACTACGTCATCGGACTATTTTACAACGTTATTGATAGATGTTATTCTAAATAATCAATTATGATTTTTCATTTTTATATTAATTTATTTGTTCTTCGCGAGTACGTTTTTGGAATTAAACCTTGATTTGTTTCAAAACTGTAATAGGTAAATTCAATTAATAATAAATTCAATAGGTAATTCATTAAAGATTATTAATTTGGACTGGGTATTTGAAATTATGAATTGTAAAATATTGTATTTCGATTTTTCTGTTAAATGGGCTTTCCGTGTCTGCTGACATTTCAAATATGAGTCTTTGAATTCATCAAAACCAAATACATATGCAATAAAAATACAGACGAATGTCTTAATATGGATAATGTCAAAATATTTAGCTATAACAAACCGTGGATTCCAATCCAGCTTTTAAAATAATTTGGTTTAAAAACCATCACTTACCTATACACCGTGTTCCTGAGGATATACGAGTACATTAACTTTGAGTAATACTTCTATAGCTCTTGTTAATAATATCGTACAAGGAAAGTAGTAGTTTAAATAGCATAGTTTTTAAGTTATTGGTAATTTAAGTTAAACCAACTTAATTGTGTTGTGCATTGAGAAAGAGTCTTTATCTGTGAGCTGTTGCCACTTTGTGCAACTAAAACTATCAACTCTTTGTCAATGGTCATTAAGTCATAGTTTCAAAAGTCAAAATTTTAAAAAACATTGTTGACGTCAAGAAAAGTTTTGAACATAATATCTCTATCAATGGACTGGAATCTTACTTTCCTCTTCATCAGGTACATCGCTTGCTCATACCCTGCCGCTGGCACTGTCCTCGCTGTCACCAGCCACGAGGAGCGCATCGCTTTCGGCGGTACCACGCCAGTCTTCAACATTGTGACGTTCCATGACCCCAAGCACGAGAAGTACGAAATGCCACAAGGCGAAGTCAACGTTAAATCAATGACGCTGTTCCACGATGATTCCGAGAGCATGTATTCGGACTACGATCCCACGGAACAATCTAAAGTAGCCGTTCCGTCAGTATTGCCTGCTCCTACTGACAATAAGATTTTGTCTAAAAATGATGATAATTGATTTATTTAATATACTTATGTTTTTGGTGGCCTATCTTATTTCACTTTTATTTCTATTGACATTGATGATTTCGGTATTTAAGAAAAACCGTTTAGTTCCATTGTCCATATGGGATGACTTAATGTAACAAAATAGAGCTGTAATATTAAAGCATTCAAGCATGCATTGGATTTTCAGTACCTAATGTATGTGCCCATTTTCATAAAAATCTGCCTGGATAATTTAAATGTTCGCGTGCAAATAAACAAGATTGATTAGTTTGCGCAACGAGTAGATGTATGGCCGTATGTCAATGCCTCAGGGACAAATTGAGAGAGCTAATGCTCGACGGCATATCGATCCGAAAGCTTTTACTGAAGACAAAATTGACATACAAAATGGTGATGACGTTTCAAATTACATTGGCATGCAAACGGCCCATCACGCTCAAAGTAATCCGTTTCAATTCAGTTGACGAGATATACGCGTTGCGTTCATTTCAAAAAGGGTGTCACCGTAGACGCATTTTCGTTGTCGCCGTTATAACTCGAAAAGCTTGTACTAGCCAAATTGGACTGTTACGATAACAATAAAACCCTTTTTTTGCACCAACAAGAATATATCGTTTTGTATTAGAAACTCCGAAAACCCAGAAAAAGATTACCTATATAAATGATTGCGGTGTATTCAAAAATAGGAGGTGACATTGCAAATTCTGTCGGCATTCCTACAATGGTGAGCTAGTTGCAACAGAATTCAAATAAAGAAACCATTTAGTTACAGTGCGCGAGGCGTTGTGAACTTTCAAGTTATACGCGAATGTGCTCGCGAGCGTACCTACCTTCCCATTCCCCTTCGTCGCCCACCGCGGCGTGTGAAATGGGCGGTTTTCCGTACTCGGAGTGAATATTTACAGCGCAGCCTAAATATAGCGTGCCACTGCTCAGCTGGCACGGTGGGGGGAATAGGGTAAACATTCCCCCGGCGAGCTCCCGGTGCGACTCCATTCGAACACCGACCGCAGAGGTGAGCGGTCGTGTTCAACATGAGGCCTTCTGCGACCATGACCCCTAAAACCAGGGGCGACCGACGCCGTACCGCGTTCTTCAAGGCCGCGCCATTAATTTTGCCATGCAATAGGGGTGAATGCAAACTTGCTCTGTTCACAGCGTTACTGGCATTTTTACAACGATGATTGCGGAAGTAATTAATCTCTTTTAGTATGCCAGGTTTATTTATAGACAATGAACTTTTTAATTCAACCTTAGCTTTTAGTATACAGATCTTTTGTCGTAGCAAGGATTTAGGTGTCTATGTTAGGTGTCAGATAAGTGTGTGCAGAAGTATATAATATAGTAAGGCCATACGAAGTCTGATCCTAATCTCTTTAATTTACATAATTCCTCTAATCCGATATGAATACGAGGATGCTAAGCTTCTTAGCTGAGCGCGAGATGAATTTTACCCAAAAATAGGCCTTAATAAAACCACATAAATAACTCTGTTGATATATTAATAAATTACGTTACGCCCTATCTCTGGCATACATTTTTTTTAATTACTCTTCCTAAATTGTTTCGTTGCCCATAACTGTTTTTAAGCAAAGCTCATCATTCATTTCTGTTATTTTTTTGTTGTGTAGTTGTTTTTGATTAAAAATTTCAATTTTATCTAATGTTCATTTAAAAATTTCCGATTGGTTTACGCGCATTAAACTCGAAAAACCATTTGGATTTGATTTGGTTGGAATCAGATCATTTTGATAGATTATAAAAGAGGCTGTTCACTTCTCTTCACACTATATTTTAGGTATTAAATAATATATGTATATTATTTAATACCTAAAATATATTGCAAATATTTTTCTATGATGGTTATAGCAATATATATTACAGAGGATAACAACTATTTTAACCTATACCTAATTGATATCTTACAAATAAAAGTGATAATATAAAAATAAATATAAAAATAATAAATAAAATCTATCGTTTCAGCTAGGCAGCATCGTACCTGGACAGGACTGAACTATGCTATCGTATAAATTTAGAAGCGTTATTTAAAAAGGACTTTACACACTAATGATATTGGAAAAACCTGCAGTGAAATTCTGTAAGAACAATGTCACTTTTCACCGCAGAATCCGCGGTGTGTTCTGAAATTTGAAATTCGTTTTCTAATTTCTAATCACAACTGCGGATTTCGCAGTGAAAAGAGAGTTTGTTCTCACAGAATAACACTGTTGAATTTAAAAGTCAGTTAGCATTCAGATGTTCTTAATTACCGAACATATTAATAACTTCACTGCGAACTTTTTTTATGTGGAAGTTACACAAAGTCTTAGTAATATTAAATTGCATCAAACAAGAATTCGAGTATGGATTAAACGCAATTGACAGTGCCCTTGTGCTTTTAAACTTTGGTTACCCAATAGCTTCATTTTATTACTACGCAGACTATACTTGTGATTGTATAGTAGGTACCTATTCAATAATTCAAGTGTGATTTAATATTTCATTAGCTCAATTTCCAGTGTTTTATAAAATTGTGTAGTATTCAATAATTTAAGTGTGATATAAATTTCACTTGCTCAATTTCAAGTGTTTTAATATCGACACAAAAGATGAGTAAACTATTTTCATAAAGGCTTGACACGGTATGTATACGTCGGAATAGCGAGTCGTAGCGTCTACGTTACTGACTCAGCGCTACGAAATACTTTCGTAGCGAAATGTGTAGTAGGGATTTCGTAGACGGTTGGCTTTTGTAAGCGTAGTCTTTACGACTCGAAGAATTTTGTTGGTATTTTATTAACTTCACAAAAACTGTGCTGTGCATTTATTAATTAAAAACATATACCGGCCAAATTAGGAACCTCCTTCTTTTCGAAGTCGGTAAAATTGATATCCCTTTCCTAGGAAGTACTTTTAGATGATTTTCTTTTGAAATTTGTTTTTAAATTGAATGATTTAATTAAAATGTTACAAGATAACGATAGCAACAAAGACATCATTAGATGATAAAAAGATTCACTATTTTATGAACGATAAAATATTGATGGTAATAATTACGTTTGTTTATTTATTTTGTTGTGTAATTAAAATATTATGGGATTGATTGATTGTGAGTTGGTTAATTGTGAGCAGTTAGTGCTTAAAATTAAATAAAAAAAAAAACACCAGTGTTATCTAAGGATTGACAAATTGATTGTGGTAGTTTGCATTACATATTATTATGTACTTCCACTATTTAAAAGAATGTATGAGCAAATATTTTGACGTGACAACGTCTTAAATTAGGTTGCGGCTGGGAGTCACTTATGAAAAAGTGTAACGCTCGGTAACGTTACGATGAGTTTAAGTTTACATGTACAATGTTTTAGTAAACAAAATATATTTCTATAGTTAAAATTTGTGCAATTCTTATTTTCATTCAATTCCTTGTTCCTATTGTGCAATTTAATTATATTCATATCAATAAATATTCTACCGAGAAAAAGACGTTGTCACGTAAAATCTTCGCCCGTAAAACCGACTTTACAGGCAACCATTTTTTTATATACCTATTATAGAAAACAAATTAATTGAGGAGCTCGATGGCGCAAGTGGTAAGCGCGTTCGGCTGCGATCGTTGAACTTAAGCATCTTTCGCAGTGGTCGGTCATTGGATGGGTGACCAAAAATTACTATCTCATGCTCGAGCTCCTCCGTGCTTCGGAAGGCACGTTAAGCCGTTGGTCCCGGCTGCATCTGCAGTCGTTAGCACCCACCAATCTGCACTGGGCCCGCGTGGTGGGTCATGGCCCAACCTCCCTATTCCATCCATAGGAAAGGCCTGTGCCCCAGCAGTGGGGACATTAATAGGCTGATGATGATGATTGAGTGAAAATCATAATTCTTATTTATTATCTTGAATAAGAGGCGTTACCTTCTACCTCTTTGAATAGCCAAAAGATTTACTGCCTTAGAACTTCAGAACTTTTAAGTTAAGAAGAGGAATGGGCTAAAGAAAATGTATAAAGCAAGAGAGGTAAAAATTGAATATTTAAATCTGTAGAAATATAGGTCAGTGCTTTGTGACATGTTTTGGTGTTAATCACACTAATATTATATAGGCAAAAGTTTGTGACTGTGTATGTTTCTTACTTCTTCACGTCTAATCGGCTAGAGCGATTTAAATTAAAAATTGGTAAGGACTTAGATGACACCCTGTATTAACACATAGGCTACGTTTACTGCACAACTGGTTTGTTTTATAAATAAATAAGAGTGTACAAAATAGGCTTTACTTAAATTGAGTTAGTGTAGCTTTAGTTTGTTTATTTCGTCCTCATTGGATAGATAGATTTATTTTCATCATGCTGGGATGGGCTTGCAACGGAAAAAAGCTGTATATTTAACCCTGCAGTTTCACGTAGTAAATTCTAAATATAACAGTGATGTTTATACATTTTATATTCCATACTAGGTATTTTAGGTTTTGCTTCATATTGGCACACAGGTTCTTAAAATTAAAATAAGACTACCACCATGGATCTTCCCTGTACGAAAGTTACTGAGTTCCCCAAAATCACAGTTCGAACAAGCGCTATCGCTATCACAGTGCTATCGACCTTCTCAATTGAAGATGAGATATAAATATAACTGCAATCCTTTAATCATATTCATAAGTAAAAAATGGTAACTACAAATATTCTCAGCCTTGGACTCGGAGTTGCAAACTATTTCCGTGCAGATAATAGAATTGTAGAAGCTTAACAATGAACAGAGAAGTATTGTAATTGTTTTAGGATTTCGTAAGCCTTTCGTAAGATCAACAAATGCGATTAAGAAGTGAGAGTATTTTTGGGTCTTTCATATTATTAAGGCTCCAGTCAGAGTATTTTGTGTAAAAATTGAGTTTGATTAAATTGATACTGTCACAATTAGTTTGTTACGGTCATTGATCGTGCTACCATAGTGTTAAATGTATTTCGTTTTATTACTTTTGTTTCTATTTACAAAAACAGTGACGCGTCGTTCATTGCTAAATACTGATAGTGCTACCACACTAATATTAT